TTTCCAGCTGTGTACACCGCTTCCCCTCTCTGCTCTTTCACTTTCTTGCCTGTTGTGAGGGGATAAATGAATGACTGCTGGAGCCAGACCTACACCCCCTCTCTGAGCAGAGCATAGATGAGACCGGCATGGGAGCTCCAGATGAGCAGAACCTAGGGATGCCAGGGGTCTACAGGGAGAGAGCCAGTGGGCTAGAGTTTTGCAGCTGGTCTGAAAGACAGACAGGGGCTACTTAGGGAGAAGAAAGAGCGGTCATTCTAGGAGAGGCAAAGCCACAAAAGCAGGAATGGACACAGTGGGTGTGAGGCTCAGGGTTAGCTGGCTTGAGAGAGGCACTGATCAGAGAGAGCTGGGGGCTTCATGGCAAGTGAGGGTTGAGAAATAAGTCTAGATTGGCTTTGGGAAATGAGCTCTCCAAGGATGTCAGTTCCCTGCCACACTGCCTGCCCTCTCCTACCTACCTCCACCCAAACCCTGGTCCGCCAGGATTTCTGGGCAAGGGACCAGAGGCAGTGGAGAGGGTGCAGTTCCAGCTTGGGAGAGACAGCTGTGCAGGCCTCCTGCCTGCTGCAGGGGATTAACTGGCACCGCCACAGTATGTTGGGGGGGCACTGGCTCCCAGCTCTGCCCACCCTTGTGCCCTTTAACTCCTTGTTATCCGGGCCCCTTATCTTCAGGCTTAGAGACGTGCTCCTACTCATTTCTCTGTGCCCTCTGTGTTAGATGTTGGAGACACGGGCAAATAAAGATGGAAGACAAGGTCTACCCAGCCAGAGGTATGTAGATCCATCACTGTGGTCTTCATGCCCACAGTGGGTCCTCTGAGACCCTGGATTTCTCTCCATAGCAGGCCCTTTCTTCTTTGGCTTCTTCCAGCACCTGTGGTAAAGTCACTGCCATCCTCAAAGCATCAAATAAGCCTTCCCTTGACCCTATGTCCTATCTTTCATCCTTCTGAGTATTGTCCTCCTTGCTATCCCTACTTCCCCATGGAGAAGGCACTGTCCACCAGATCCATCTCCTCCTCTTCCTGGGCACACAGCTGGACTGCATCCCCCAGCTTCCCTTGGAGTTAGAGGTGGCCACATACTCCATCCTAGTCCCACATATCGTCAGCACACATTCCCTGAACACCTTGGTGCTAGCTTGACATGCACAAGCAGAGTCATCACGAGACAGTCATGCTGAAGATGGTAGAACAGTAGAGAGAGGGGCGAAGATCTCTCAGTCTTTTATACACAAGATTCCAGCTACTCAGGATTACCTATGCTGGCCATTTTTTTTTAATAGAAATAAATAAACTTCTATCATGCTTGATAGAAATACAGAAAAGATCTGATTTGCTGTTTATGGAAAAAAATGAGGAATTTAGTCCTCCATCTTCTCTATCTTTCCATGTGGGACAACACAGGAAAACAGGGAAGAGGGTCTTGAAACTCAGAAAAGAGGAAAAAGAAGAGAGCTCTATGTGCAGGAGAAAGATTTCCTGGGATGTCATGTAGTCAATGAAGTCAGACACGTAGCACTTGAAGCTGTTCCCAACCCTGTCATCTTCCTTCCCTGAGCCACGAAGCCTCAAGACCTTGAGTGGTTTGAACCCTGGGTAAAGGTAAAAGACCATAGTAGGTAAAAAGTCCGTGGGGACCTGGCCCTGGGAGAGGAGGTTGGCGCTGACAGTGGTGACGAGAGTGGTGAGGAAAGAGTTAAGGGGTCTGTGAGCAGGATTGGCTCCCCTCTCAGTGAGGGCAGTAAAATCAGCATGTCGCCTCCAATTTGCTCCGGCCTGACCTTGAACGTGAATCATTCCATCACAATGTCCTTATTGATTTCCACAGGAAGAGGATTAAACCCAGAAAATCAAGGCGGGAACTTGAGCCTGCACCAGGGAGAATGGGATGGTTCTGCGGCTCTAAGCCCCTCGTGTTTGCAAATACGTCACCCGGGGCTGCAGGCTGGACAGCCACCGTGGGCTTAGCCGCCACCTCTCTAAGTGGCCAGGCTGGTCCTGGCCTTCGTTTCTTTGCCTGTGGGATGTGAGGCCTCTGCGGCTGTCTCAAGCTCAGGTCATGGGCAAAGTGTATGGAGGAACCAGAGGGATGGGTTAGACGCTGACATCCCCAGAGCCTGGAGTCTATTCTGGTCTAGTCCTCATCCTCTGCAACAGCCTTTGAGACACTCAGAACCAGAGGCCTTCTCAGGACCAAAGTTGCCATTGGACCAGCTGGCTCTAACAGCCAAGAAGGGTTCTGCTCAGTCTCCAAAGCCCTTCAGAAAAACAAGACCAATCACCAGCCCTCTCTCCAGGGCCAGATCCCCAATATAGGGGTATGTGAGTGTGAGTGTATGTGTGTGAGTATATGTGTGTGTGTGTGTGTGTGTGTGTGTGTGTGTGTGTGTGTGTGTCCCATAGAGGCATAAAGGAGGCAGGTCATTCTGTGGGAACCAACCCACAATTTCCTTTCTTCATTTAACATGCTGATAACATGCTGATATATTGGAGAGCCCAATATACCAGTACACAAAGATGCTATCTAGTACTCTATAATGTCTCTGTATCATTCCCTACTGATGGGCATTTAACATTGCTATCAATTGTTTTAAAACTTAGGACAGTGCTGCAAAATCTGGCACATGCTTCTTTGAATGAATTCTTTCTTTAGATACCGTATGAGTTTCCTATTGCTGTGGTAACAACTCACTATAAACTTAGTGGTCTAAAGGGACACCATTTATTCTTTCACAGTTCTCGAGGTCTGAGGTCTAAACCAGATCTGCTGGGCTCAAATCAAGGGACCAGCAGGTCTGCATTCTTTCTGGAGGCTCTAGGGAAAGCCCATTTTCATGAATTCCAGTGTCTACAGGCTGTCTGTCTTCTCTGGGCAGGAACCACTTCCTCCAAAGTGCATCCCTTAAACTTCAAAGTACATTACCCAGTCTTTGTTTTGACAGCATGTCTTGTCCGTCTCTGGGCATCCTGCTCCCCTTTTATAAGGACCCTTGTGTTTATACTGGACCCACCTGGATAATACTGGATAATCTCCCTATCTCAAGAACCTTAATTATATCTGCAAGACCCTTTTACCATGGAAGAGAACATATTCACTGGCTCCTGGATTAGATGTGGGTGTCTTTCCAGGGATTAGATGGAGGCTATTATTCTACCTACCACAGCTGCTCAGAAATCAGACGACTAATCAAAAGATGTATTTTTAAACAAAGTCAACATCTTCAAATTCTATCCATTCACACTCATATCACTGCTTGAGTTGGCCTTTTTGAGGTCAGCTGGGTGACAGTGATCACTGTTCAAATCTTCAGCTTCCTGTCTTCCTTTATAGTGCGAACACAGTCCGTGATTTCTCTCTTTTTAATCTTTCACTAAGTTTCTGAGCTTAAAAGAGTTGGTTTCCCCAGGTACAGGCTGGGGAACATGACTGGAGGCTGGGGAACTTGACTGGGGTTTTGGCCAAAAGGTTGGAATGAGATGATTGCTTCCAGTAAGAAGACAGCAGGAGTTCCTGGGGGCCGTGGGGGTGAGGTGGGAGATGAGCAGCCAGCATACCAAGAGTTCAGCAATGAGGTCCAATCAGCAGACACTATGGCTACCTATGAGTATATGGTACAGGCAGAGAGGAAGGCGGGGGACTGCTGCCAGCTGGAACCAGGGAGGGCCAGGCTCCTACAGTGAGAGATCAGAGACCCGCCCAAACAGACCACAGAGAGTCATTTAGGCCAAGGTGGCTCATGTGTTCTGATGCCCTTTGCCTCCACCCACACAGCCTCCGGTTAGCAGTGACCCTATTCAAAAGCTGCCTGCTCATACCTGCGCATAAACAGATGAAAGTGGCGGTGAGGTAAGGGATGATGAGCTGGGGACGCTGGGATTTTGACAATGGCTAAAGAACTACTTTGTGTCTTACCCATCTTGCTATATAATTTTAAAACTGTTCCCTTTAAAGGTATATTTGAAATAATGCTGTGTTGAGCTCAGTGTCTGAAACTCTGGAAGCTATTGATAAGTGACTTAGGGAGTGTGTAACAGCTTAGGAAAAGACTGACTACAAAGCATCAAAGTTTGGAAGCCCTATCCTTTTCCATCTCTGTAATGGCAGGAAATTAGCAAGCATGAAAAATGCACTTCAAGACATAAATGTCCCTTAAGTACTGCTTTAGCTGCATCTCGCAAGTTTAATGTGTCATAGTTTCATAATCAGAAGATCAAAATGTCTCATTTCTATCCTGATTTCTCCTTTGATCCATTGATTATTTATGTGTGCTGCTTAAGACCCTGCAAATCTCTTTTTTCATTAGGAAAAACCCTAGGATCCGTGTCAGCAGACTCATGTTCCATGAGGGGAGAAGCTTACTTATAAACTAATATCCAAGCCTTCCAAGGATCAGTAAAAAAAGCGATGCCCTCCTCCCTCCAGGTGGGGGAAGCTCTTGCGTACAGAGCACTGACTCAGCCCTAGGAGTTTTCCCCTCTTATTGGGGAGGTGCTTCTCTGGCCTTCATCCTCCTCTTTCCCACATGGGACAACCTAGCAAAGTACCCTCCCACTTGCTCCTTAGGTGCTGGTGGTCCTTTGAAGTTGAAGGATCCCTAAGAATTCATCTCTATATTCTCCCTAACCTTTGCACAGCCAGCAGGTCTGCAAAAATTCACTTAGATCTTTGGAAGAAAACAAGGAAATAAATATGAAACACTGAGACGTCATCATACAACACCCTTGATACTGTCCCATCCACATCCTATATGAGAGGCCTCTAGACTAGGATCACTCTTCAGGCCCCTCTTTTGGGTGCCAGCTCCCTATTACTCCAAATGTCCTCTTCTTTCTTCAGACTCCCTTCCTCTAGAAGCCAGTCTCTGATCAGCTCAGTCCCAACCAGCAGGCATCCAAGTGGGGCAGAAGTTAAGTTGGGCTCCAGGACCATAAAATAGGGTCTTCTCTTCCCAATAGACATTGCTTCAGATTCAAAGCAAACCTGGCAGCCTCAGAAATTCTTGGAGGCCTAAAGTCTTCCTGTGGTTTATTGATACACAAGCGGGACACAGTTACAGTAGCAGAGAGGCTGCGGGAACAGCTGGGGAGCATCCTGGGAGAGCCTTCTCATCCCAAGGGGCACAAGGACAGCCACACATCTGTACACATCAGGGCAGTGTTGGAGCCTGAATATGTTAGGTGTATGCTCTCTGGACCCAGTGGTATTCAGAGAGGGCAGGAGACAAGTGTGGCTGAGCTCTCTGGCCCTGGTTTTAGGGAGGGCACTGTTGTTTGGAAACAAGCCTCTGACAGACAAGGGACACTGGGTGCACATGCACTGGGCTGCATTTTCCACTGACAGACGTTCTTCCACTAAACACTCCCATAGAACACAAAAGACACACTCAGGCCCCTCCGCAGACCAACTCTGCTATGTCCTTGGCGAAAAGGCACATTGCATCAGGAGCTGCAACTGCAGGCTTAGAGTACCCATCGCACAGCCTCGAGGTGGACTGTCCCCGACATCCGGATGACCAGTTCCTCCCACCACCCACTCCCAAGGCAGCCCATCCACCAGGAGAGGTGGGTGGGGTTGAGGGGTGGCATATGGAGACTTAGGCCTGGGTCCACCCTTCTAAATCCCATCCTGAATTACAAGGTCAACACCAGATCATTGAGCACCCCTCTTGGAGGGAGAACGAACTCGACAGTCACTGAGTCCACCCCGCAGTCTCTGTACCTGGTGTCAAACATCGCTGTGGGAGGACCTGGGCCCCTTAAGTCCACCCTCTTTGCTTTGGGGAAGTCTTCTGGGCAGCTCTGCATAGGCTGATGTTGCAGTTAAAGCCCTTTTTACTGTGTCTGTGTTTATCCTGTGGTCAAAAGGATGAAGAAAGAAACAGGCCACCACATCCTAGTCCTGTGCTTGGATCGGGGTTAACTTTGGACCCAGCTTCTGGGAAAGTTCTCACCCCTCTCACCAAGAACCATGCCCCAGTCACGGATGTGCAGGAGCCGGCCGCCCTGGATCTGCAGCCCATTCCTGACCTCAAGCCGGGGACAGAGCTGAGCACTGCCCCATGTGTGGAGGTGGGGAGGCAGCAGAGCGGGAGCCGGAATGGGCAAACGTGGCCAGTTCTGGCCCTTCTTGGGGCCTCTGCCCGCCGTCACATGCTCAGCTCGGACCAGCTCTCTCCCGCTCAGGCTGGGCCACCTAGAACATAAGGCGGCAGCAGTGGCCCAGCGAGCCCAGGCCCCAGCCTCAGGACCACTGGCAGGCGCAGTCCGTGGGCTCCTGCACTGTATAGGGCACCCAGGTGGCGTTGGTGGCGCAGAAGAGCTGCACGGAGCGTCGCTGCAACCCCACCTCGCGGCAGCACTTGCAGAAGCGGGCGTAGGTGTTGACGTTGTGGTTGTAGATGCTGGCGGACGGGCACCTCCCGTCGCAGGACACTAGGTTCACCTGGAGAGGGGCCGACCAGTGAGGCAGCCTGGGGAGCGCGCCCCCGAGCCCCTCCCGCCCCCATCTTTGCCTGCCCCACCGCCACGTGGGCACCACGCACAGGTGTGTTGCTCCTGCAGTCGTTCTTGCGGATGGTCATGCGGATGGTCACCTTCTTGCAGGAGCGCCCATCCTCCTTACCTGGGGACGACAGGGCAGGTGAGGCAGCTGTGGCCCAGACGGGCTCCCGGGAGGGCAGCAGGATGGGCCAGCCTGGGGCAGTTAGCGTCATGCTGGAGGGTCCCTCTTCCGGGTTAGCACTCATGCATTGCTGCCTCTCCCTGCCAGGGGGAAGGTCTTTTTTCCCCACGCTCTGGGCTGAGGTGAAGGTGGGTGAGCAAAGACGGCAGTGTGAGTGCCTGAGACCATGCGACCATGGAAGATGCCTGGAATGGCTGCCCGGAGACTGTGCTGGGAGCAGGTGGGTGTGGAGACACCGGAAGGCTACCTCCGCACCCATACCCCAAGTCAACAGCCATCTGTTGACCCCCGGGCGTGGGTTCACCCTCTCTGAGCGTCTGTGTTTGAGTACTGGGGTGCTGCGGTTTTCTGAATGAATGGGAAGCCCAGTCCCTGGCAACATGCAGATGTTTCCCTGTCTATTGCACAGAGCCAGGACTTGCCCACCTCCCGGAGGTTCAGGAATGGACACTGAAGTGTGGGTTTTTTCTGGCTGCCCACAGACACCCAGGCGCAAGGCTTACAGTTGCGCTCACCTCCTTCAGCAGTATGCTCCATCAGCCCCTCACTGAGGCCTGCCCTGACCCCCCTCCCAGCCCTCCCTCGCCCTCCTTGCCCTTTATCATCGGGCCATGGTTCCTGTCCTCCCAGAAGCCATTTGTGATGGCGCCGTTGAAGCTAAGCTTAGGGCCTTCCTTTGTACACCCCTTCCACATGTTGTGAGTCCCTTCCTCCCTCTAAATAAATATTCCCGTTTACACCTCAATGTAGATTTATAATTCTCTGCTCTTTTCCTTTAACGAAGTCCTCCAAGTTGTATAAGCCTCAGACCTCACACAGCTCAGTGTCTCTAACCCATGATATATTTGTACTTTCTCACTAAAATGTCAGCTCTGAGAGGCCTTATTTGTACTATGCCTGCTGTTCCTAGCTCGTTGCCTGGCACATCATTGGTGCTCAATAAATATTTGCCAGATGCAGGCACTCTGTAGGCCAGGAAGCCCACCAGAAATGGGACGAAACCCTTTCTCCTGGCCTGCAGGCCTCACCGTAGAGAGACAGAGAAGCTGAGTTCTTCCCTGACCACAGCCCTGTGGGGCCTGGGTGGAGACTGGCTGAGAGACGGCAGGAGCAAAGCAGTGGCGGTACTGGGCATTGGTGGCCCCAGGAGAGTGGGTGCTGCGGAAGCGTTCCTAAGCAAGCCCAGAGTGCCTGGCTCACTACCCAGCATGCACTGGGAGCCAAAGGGTCTTTGCTGGATGCAGGAGAGAGGGGGCCTTACCCCCAGAGCTCAGAGCCACCTAGCAGAGGGAACATTGGTGCAAATAGCAATACAGCTGACTGTTTCAGTCCTTGGAGCTACCAAGAGAAGTACCTGTGTGGCAGTGGACACTAACCCCTGGAGGAGAGGCGGAGCTATAGGGGACCACAGGAAACAGGGTCCCTGGGGAACCTGGGGAGAGGGACAGGTGTCTCAGGTCACATGGGGGCACAGGGAACATCCAGAGAGCAAAAAGTTGTGGATCGGGGAAACCAATGAAGTCTTGAGCCCATGTCTCCTTGTATGTGTGATGTGGACATAAAGGGCCCCAAACCCTACAGCCCCCTACAGGACAGGGTCTGAGCATCCTACCAAGAAGGCAGACCTGTGGGCAAATATAGGGAAGCTCATTGGTCCATTTGTGTATGTAGAGTTGGGGGTGCAGGTTTGGGGTGCTCAGGAGCTAAGTATGAAGACAGACACACAGAGCTCTCACTCTGACTTGCTCTGGGGCCCTGGAGGCCTGCATCCACCAAGAGGTACCTCCAAGACCTGGGCTCCTGACCACAAAGGAGAATTAGTATGGGGGACATCTGGGCTGGGGTCCTTATCAGGGTCAGGAGGAGCAGAGTGTGCAGTAAGCTACCAGCTGCCTCTGACAAGAAGCAGAGGGCTTGTACCTGGACAAAGAGATGAGTGTGGCCTCTGAGAACGTCACTGGTGCAGCAAGCCTCATGCAGGAGGTTATCCCTTCATCTACTCACCCTGCAGAGTGACCCTCACAGATGCCAGGCCAGGAATCTGGCCTCCTGACCCTGATGTAACACTCTGCCCCCCCCCCAGGATCCCTCACTCCTGGGGCTCTCCCCTCTCACTCACATGTCCTGCAGCATCCTTCCAAGGAAGGGACCACAGAGCCCCCAACCTAGAGGGAGAGAAGAAAGGGTTGGGGGAGAAAACCCTGCTGCAGGCCAAGAGCCAAGATCCCATGATGCCCCAGGGCAGGAGCTCCACACCCAGGCAGGCCATGGAAGAGCCAAAGGGCTAATCTGGCTGGCTAGATGCCTGGCACTAAGGCTGCCTACAGCCCCTGGGAGGCTGGAGCCTGGGAAAAGATGGTGCATGGCCTCCCTTCCTCCTATGGCCGTTACCACACACCCTCCCCTACCGTCTCCATGTGGGGAGGAGGAAGATTTGGGGACATTTTGTCACCGGTGGTTGCCTCCACAGAGGCCAGCAAAGGAAGGTGCAAAGCTTGGGTTAGGGGCCGAGGCTCTACCACAGCTCTGGATAAGTTGCTCCTTTCCCTTGGGCTTAGCTTTTGTTATGATTTATATCTAGATGTCCTCTAAGAACCTCAAGAGCTCGTAGGTGGGGCTGTGGGGAGTGATTAGATCATGGGAGCTTAGAGCTGACTTGCTGTTGGAAGGTGGGGTCTGGTTGGGAGAGGTGGGATGTGGCCTGGAATGCGTATCTCCCTTTGCAGCTCCTCTCTTCACTCCCTCGGCTGCCCAGCCGCCATGACTCGAGCAGCTTTGTCCACCAGACCCTTCCACTAGCCTTCCTGACTTGGAGTTGGCCAACTATGGACTAAAAATATGAGCCAAAATAGCCTACATTTTGAGTTTTAGGTATTAATATTTTATCCCAACAATGAGGAAAGTGACTAAGACAGTTTTCCATCTCTAAAATTAGGGCACTCATCCCTTACAACCCTTCTCTGCTATTGTGAGGTGGATGAAGCAATGGCTGGAATAGTTCTTTGTAAGATGTGTGTGTATGTGTATGTATGTGTGACTTTATGAGCATTTATATGCATGTGTGTGTGTGCTTGTGCGTCTATATGGCAGGATGAGTATATGTGCATTTGCTGTCTCGGGAAGAGTCAGAAACATCAAATGTCCAGAGCTAATCTCAGTCATTTTAATAATTCAATAATAACACCAAGTCCTGCAGGAATCCCTTTCCTTGAGGTGTGCCTGCAGTGACAGCTGTCCGTGGAGGGAACCGTGGATGGAACCGCTCCCCTGCGTGGTGCATGTGTGTGCAAGGGTGCCTCTGAGGGCTTTGAGGTGTGCTGGTGTGTGGTGCCTAGGTGCGTTCATGGCTCTGGGGAGTGTGTGAAGTGTGAGTGACCAACTGCCCGTGATGGTGTCTATGAGTGTACCTGGAACCCGTGTAAGTTTGTCTACATCAGTGTGTGGACATGTGATGCACGAGGACATGGGGTGTGTCGTGGTCTAATCCAAGCACCCTCCTACACCCGCGGCCCGTCCCCCACCTCCACTGTCACTAGCGACACAGCTGATGCCCTAGCTAAGCCACACTGTGGGTGGAGGAGGCACTGACCTTGACACACTCAGTCTCGTTGAGTGGTGGGCAGCTGATGGGTGAGCGGACAAGCACGGCGCCCAGGGGAGTGCTGCCGCAGTGGAGGCGGGCACAGTCTGCGATCCAGGACGCCCCAGGCTGCAAGGCACAAAAGTGAGCGCTGGGGGCCTGTGGCCATGCAGATAACGGACCCCAAGGACAGGGGCAGCCCAGGACACTGGCGTCCTGGTCCTAGCATTCCTTTCTGGACGTCTTTCTGGGGCAGCTTAGGGACTGCTTACCAAGAACAGGGAGGTGGTGCCATTCGGGAAGGTGAAGAGGCAGGACACGTTCCTGCAGGAGCCACAGCAGGCCGCCAGGTCCCGGGGGTGCTCGTACTCCTGGTTCTGCAGGCCGGGCGGGACACCTGGCATCACTTGGGTGACACCTGCCCCCTCTACATCTGCACTGTCCACCTGTTCCGAGGGCCCACAGCCCCAGAAGGACCCCTGCCAGGGACTCAGGAATGGAACTTCAGCCTCCTATCTCTGGCAGACGGACAGGTGCCAGAGGCTAGAGGCACCTCCACCCCTGGAAGCAGCACTCTCATCATTAAGAGGCCAGTGTGGGTTCTAGACAGACCTCAATTTGAGTCTTGGCTCTGGTGGGACTTTTAACAATGACTAAATCTCAGGTTTCTTATATGAAGATTGGGAATAATTCTAACACCCATACATAAGCAATTTATCTGGCTCTTACTAGAAGGCAGGCCCTGTCCTAGGTACTGGGTCTTACAAATGGTAGCAACACAGACACATACACCGAAAGGATAGGGACTGTGTCAGGCATTCGGTAGGTACTTAATAAATGTGTGTCTTCTCTGTCAGATACCCATGCTTCCCAGGCCTGAAATCTAATCCTGTGCTCTAGGCCTCCCTGGCCTCTCCAACCTTGGTCTTTTCCACAGAGTGTGCACTGTCTGGGCTTGCCTGGGGGACTTGAGGCAAGTTTGAGAGCCCCCCTTATTTCTGGAGCACCTAGAGTCCGCCAGGCCAGCCCTCCCGACCCTGCTGCCCGCCTGGGCTGCCCCCTACCACTTCGCAGTGGACGTCACACAGCACCGAGGTGGTGTTGATCTGGTAGAAGCTGGTGAGGGGGTCCAGCGAGTCCGTGCAGCGGGAGGTGTGGCACACGCCATCTGCGGAGAGCTCCACCACCGTCTGGCCTGGCTGCAGCACCCCCAGCTCGCGGCTCAGACACACGGGGGCTTTCACTGGTGGTAAGCGGGGTGGTGTGAGCCCAGTGCCCCCACCACCCGTGTCCGGCCGGCCCACTGGAGACTCACGCACCCTGGCCCCGCCCCCCGGCTTGCCTCGCCCACTCACCGCACTCGTACTTGGCGCAACCACACACGTTCTCCTCGCTGTGCATGAACTGCTCGTCCAGCTGGGACTTCTCCCACTGGGTGGGCAGAGGTGGTCAGCACCGGGGTGGGGGTCCTGTCTCCCCTCGGGAGCAGCCTGCACCTGGGCCCCTTTCTGAGTCATGCTCCCCACTCCCAAGCCTCCTAGGGGTATACTCCATGTCCTCCCTCCCTCACAGAGGGACCAGGCCAGTTCCTGTCTTTCTTCACCAGTTTCACGGAGAAGAGGATGGCGAGGGAAACAAAATGAAAGGAAGTGGGTGCTGGGATCTGGCCAGAGTATATGTAACTCAGAAAGGACCTGACATCACCTTCCGTGTCTTATTCTCCCTTTTCCTTGTGGAGATGTTACTGGGGTTAAGAACGTGGTCTCTGCAATCAGGATCCCTGACCAAATCCTGGCTCTGTGACTTCCTAGTTTCATGACCTTAACTTTAGCTTTCTTGTTCGTGTTACTGAGACAATCACACATCCAATCTTTCGGGGTGGCCACGAAAATGAATATGGGGGTACACATAAAGGATTTGAGGAAATTCTAGGCACATAGTAAACTCTCAATAAACACGAGCTACAGCCAGCACAGCCAGCATCAACCTCTTCATCATCCTCACCACCCGCCATCGTCACCAGCACCATCCTCGCCAGCTCCACCCTCCCCATGTGATCAGCATCCTCAGCTGCTTTACAAGGAGGGCACAGTCCCCAGAAAGCCAGTGGCAGAGCTTGGGCAAGGATGCTGACTCTCTATCTCTTCCTGGGGGCTGAACTCAGAGCCTTCACACTGAACTACATCCCTAGCCTTTTGATTTTTTTGTCTTGAGTCAAAGACTTGCTAAGCCACTAAGTTGGCCGGGCTGGGTTTGAACTTGCATCCTCCTGCCTGAGCTTCCCAGCGTGCAGAGATTACCGGTGTGGGCCACCACACCCAGCTCCTTTTCGCTAGATTAAAGGAGTACAGACTGGGGTGGAGAGGACATGGAAAGGAGTATGGAGGGTAGAGAAGGGCAGGGCAAACATACCAGGTGGCACCGGGGCACCGGGATTGTGTCACAGTCACATTCTGGAAAACAGGAGGGAGCAGGACCCACCTCACTGAAGGGGCCCAGGTGAGAAGGCCCCTGCTGCCGCACACACAGCCCTGGCCCCAGCCTGGGCCGATGAGGGGAGGCCTCACTCAGCCTCCAGCCACCCCTGCATGGAGCTGCGGCTTTCCTGGCAGTGCAGGTGGGCAGTGGTGAGTATGTTGGGGGCAAAGCACCGAACATCCCACTCTGCGGCCATCCCTCACCCTGGAACGGCCTGTCCAAGAATGAACGGGACTGAGTGGGATTTCTGCCTCTCCGCTTTCCAGCAGCTCAGTGTTGCTGCCCCAGCGCTTTCCCGTGAGGAGCCCTGAGAAATCCACAGAGCTCTAGCTCAGAGACCCGGAACTGCAGGCCAGAGCAGCAGAAAACACTCTTCTGCAGCTCATTTTGTGCCCTGAGCTTTTCTCTGAGCTCTGAGGACAGAGCGATAAACAACCCAAATCCCGCCCTTGTGTTGCTAGCACCCTAGTGAGGCTGGAAAAGAAAAGCTAGACAGCCAGAGGCAAAATTAAGCTTTTTAAAGTAACATTTTTATATGAAGTTCACTGGTTTTCATGACTGATCATGGGTGCTCCCACTGGCCTCTCCAAGGGATGGGTGGTGAGTGTTAGTAAATGAGATGCACCCTCAGGAGGCTGCAATAAGGATGTTGGTTTTAGTTAGTTTTTTTGCTTTTTTGAGACAGCTGGTCTTGAACTCACTATGTGAGGCCCAGGTTGGCCTCAAACTCACTGCAATCTTCCTGCCTCAGCCTCCCTAGTGATGGGATTCCACGCATGAGCCACCACACCTGGCTTACAATAAGGACTTTTAAAAACAGGAACTGTTTCTGGAATGGGGAGCTTATCATTTTTTTTCTTTTTCTTTTATCCTGGAAAGAAAGCTGTAGGTACACTCAGAGAGTCACGCGGGAGGAGGAGGTTCCCTTGGAGAGATCTGGGAGTGTATGCGGGAGAAATGTCCACCTCGGGGAAGTGACAGTGGTGGGGCCCCAGAGCTGCACTTAGGGCCCCTGACCTAGAACTTACCACAGGACTTGTAGGGGCAGCAGCGGTCCGGGCTCCACACCTCCACCAGGGCCGTGCCCATGCCACACTGCACTTGGGGGCAGCGAAAGCTCTCACACACTGGGTAGGATCAGGGCGACACATTAGCCACGGACATCATGGAGTGTGAACCCTAAGGATGCAACCCTGGCCAAAGGTGGGTGTCTCGAAGCTAGCCCTCAGAGACACCTTGGGGCCCCTGGGGGAGTGTGGGCTCCCGGATGCCTCCCTGCAAGGCCACCTCCCCCATGCCCGCCAGGACCCACCACACTGGTACAGAGGGCAGCAGAGCTCCGTGGTGTTCCCGTGCGCGGTGAGCACCTCCCCTTCCCGACACTCCGGGATGGGATCTGGACAGTCGCCACAGGCTGGGGGGAGGAAGGGTCACCACTGTCACAGAAGACCCGGCAGGGTTTGGTGTGCAGCAGGTTCCTGGGGTGGGAGTGGGACCTCCACAGGCCAGGTGTGGCCAGAGAAAAGCTAGAAGCAGCATCCCGTGTCTGAGCCAGTGTTCGTGCTCGGTGTCCTGGGGGTGACATGGTCTCTTTCCTCTTCATCCCATGCTGCTCTCTGAGCAGTGATTCCAGCCTTCTCACCACCACCACCCTGCACGAGATCTTGGCCTTTCCTCCCAGGCGCTCGGGGAAGCAGAGGGGAGGAAGGGGCTGCTGGCCGAGGGCATCCACCCACCGCAGAAGTAGGAGGTGCAGCACGAGTCCCCCAGGCGGCCCGCAATCAGGGTCTGGTCCTGGCGGCAACTGGGGACCTGCTCTGTCTCACACAGATCAGGGTCACACTCTGGAGAAAGGACCAATGAACGCAGGTGCTGAGAACACAGCCCACTGGCCACACCCGGCCCTGCCCGGTTGCATGTAGGATCCCATCCCCAGAGCTGTCCCCAGTCCTTTTGGGCCCTTCCTGCTCTCCACACCCTGCTTTGCCCTGGTTCCAGCCAGGACCCTTCCCCGGAACCATCCCCTTCTCCCCTTGGGCTCTTCCCGCTCTCCCCACCCCTCTCACCGCAGCTGTAGCTGGGGCAGCAGGAGTCCTCCTGGAAGTGGGTGAGGAGTCGGTGGCCTGGGCGGCAGGTAGGGGCGAGGCCCTCGCACAAAGTCTGGTTACACACTGGCCCAAGGGCCACATGGCCTGTCACCTGGAGGCTGGGACATCCCGCTGCTCTCCACTACCGCCCAACCCCAGATGCCTGGTCTTACATCCTCAGCCCCAGGACCCCTACTCCTGGAGGGGCCTCTGAGGGCCACCACGGACCCAGAGCTGGGCCACAAGGGCCAGACACATTTGTGGAGATGGGCAGCGCGTCGGCTGCTGTTCAGTACTAACTCATGTGATTCTTACAGCCACCCCGACGTGGGCCCAGCTGATGCACAAAGATTTGCCTGAGGTCACGAGGGCGCTGATAATGGAGGAAGAGCTGACCAGACTGCTGGTCTCCGGAGCCAGTGCCTTTAAACCTCCTGTCCCAAGTCCAGCTCTCCACTCTCCCTTGCTCACTCCTCACAAGATGCTTTAATTTTCCCAGACCTTGTCCTAACCATCAAGGTGGGCAGGATTAGAGTTTTGTGTGTGTGTGTGTGTGTGTGTGTGTGTGTGTGTGTACCAGAGTTGAACCCAGGGCCTTTGAGCTGAGTTACATTGCAGCCTTTCATCTCTTTCTTTTCTTTTTTTTCTTGCCCTTCTCTCTCTCTCTCTCTCTCTCTCTCTCTCTCTCTCTCTCGCTGTCTGTCTCTCTGTGTCTCTTTTTGAGACAGGGTCTTGCCAAGTAGCTAAGTCACCCAGGTTGAGCTCAAATTTATAATCCTCCTCCCAGAGTACTGGCATTACAAATGTACACCACCATGGCCAACTTTGGGCTGGAGCCTTTTAGTTGTCTGAGGGTTGAGGGCCAGGGAAGTGAGGGTGCGACTCACCGCAGACAGACCCCAGGCAGCAGGGGTCCTCAGTGGGCAGGAACAGGACCACCTCCCCAAAGCGCAGGCAGCTCTCAAGCCGGGGCCCCGGGCAGTCCAGATCCACTGGGATGATGGTGTCTGGGGCCTGGCACTGCTGCTGGCAGCAGCCGCTGAGAGAGCTGTTCCAGGTCTCGCCCACGGCCCTAGGCACGCCCATGCTGTCGGTGCAGGCTGCAGTGGGAGCGTGTTGGTGCTCAGGGAACCGAGAGCGGGGGCGGAATCGGACTGGCCCAGGCTAGACCCTCCCTGGGACATGGATCACCCACCCCAGCATGGACCCGGAAGGACCCACAGGGGCACCAGCTGTGGGCCGCAGGCTGCAAGGAGACCCCAGGTGAGGCCCACCCTGGAGGGTCCACGGGGAGGGAGGGGCCTACCGCACTTTTCCTCGGGGATGCAGAGTGCAGCGTGACGCCGGTGCAGGACGGTGCCCTCGGCACAGACGCAGCCCTCGCCCAGCACCTGGCACTGCTCCGGGTCCAGCGGGCCCAGCATCCCATCCTGGCACGAGTCGGCGGGCTCGCAGGCTGCCACACATGCCTGGTAGGTGGACTCACTGGAGCACAGGAAGGCTGCAGGGACAGAGGGCGGAGGCCTGGCTCAGACCCCAGAGGGCTCCCCCGCCAGGGCCATGGGAGCAGGAAGGGTGGGAAGGGCGCTCAGTCTCAGCCTGCGCTCAGCAGGAACGCATCAGCCAGCGGGCCACACGTCCATCTGCTTGCTCCTCACCAGGATCAGCGAAGTACAGCCCACAGCCCAAATTCCACCTGTGCTGTCTTTGCAAAGTGTTTCAGTGGAACACAGCCAGGCTCATTCTTTTGTGTACTGCCTGTGGCTGGTTTTGTCCTACAAGAGTGGAGTAAAGTCTTTGTGACAGAGATAATGCAGCCCACGAAGGCCCAAGTAGTGACCACCCAGAAAAAGGTTGCCAATCTCGGGCTCTAGATCAGTGTTTTCAAACTCTGTGACTACAGGCAGCAGATGTGACATGGAGGCCAGCGCACATAGCTTGCAGAACAGGGGACCAACCTCAGGCCTGACTGTAAAGGAATCACCCGGGAGCTTGTAAACCCCGCCTCAGGACCCCGACCCCCACGGGCCGTCTTACACTGACCCGGGCCAAGGTTTGAACTTTCGCTGTCCCTGTGTGACTCAAAAGGGTAGCTGAGATTGAAAATTGTTAACACACTGAAACAAAAAAAAGTATTTTTCATGAAATCATGCTTAATCCTCCTACATGCCATAAGTACTAGTACTTTATATTCCATTGTATTTTTAAATGGTTGTGCTCCCCCTCCCAGTTGATCCATACCCCCTGTGTTAGGTTCCACAGTTTGAAAAATCAGTAATTGGCGTGTGTTTTGTTTTCCCTCTTTTAGAGGTCACATGTTATGGGTGTCATCGTCCCATGAGCTGTCCCCAGTCTTTCTGGATGTGTTGATGTTTAGAAATCCGACTGCTTTAGCGCAGGCCACCCCTGTTTACCCCAGTACCTAGCAGGGGCGAGAAGGAGGTAGATCTCATTTTCATCCTCAAGGAAGGAGGACAGACCAAGAAAAGGACAAAAATGAGCAAAAGTAAAGATAAGAAAACTAGGGGCCAGAGATATAGTTCAGTGGCACAAGTGCCTGCCTGGCAAGCGCAAGGTGCTTCGTTTGATTCCCGGTATCAAAAAAACAAAAAACTAACATTTACTGGACAATAACTCTGTGGATTATCATCTTTAAGACAGCTCTAGGAGGGAGGTATCATTACTGTCCTCATTTTATGGGGTAGGAACTCAAATACAAGAAATAAAACAAAATTTTTAGTTACATTTATTAATTTATTAATGTAAATTATTAAATAGCCTCCTCATAAAAGACACTATTTTTATAATATAAAAACTAAATATGAATGTATTAATATAAATCAATGAGTGAGTGATTAAACTTGAGAAAGCATAGACTAAATTTGGGTCTGGGAGCTTCTTCACATCCTCACGGGGACCAGGAATAACAGTCCCATTGGAGGAGGACGCCCACAGGCCTCTACTCACGGCAGTAGTCAGAGCGGCGCCACTCGATGCACACGTGGAATTTGTGGCACATGGCGACATACACGGTCAGTGCCACGCAGGGCTGCTGCACGTACTTGGTGTCCCGGATCCACAGCTCACAGAATGACTCCGGGGAGACCTGGGCACACACAGCAGGCAGTGCTACCTACCCCGTACCCCAAATCCCAGCCCAGCTCCTCCCAGCCCTGCCCAGGGGGAACAGCGAGCCTCTGCAGGTGGACTTTGCCCTCCCCAGTCCTGGAGGTGACCCCACGTGGGGCCCAGGTAGCACATACAAAGCGGTGGCAGGCGCTGAAGGTGCGGTTGGACACCATGCGGAGGCAGGGTGAGCAGTCGGCCGTGGCACAGCTGTCTGGGCGGAAACGAGCCTGGCCCACTGAGGTCAAGGAGCTGGGCACCTGCCAGCTGTCCAGAAAGGGAGCGGGGTCCTCAGCCACACCCACCACAGAGCCGTCCTTTAGGGTGAGGTCGTTGGCTACATCTCCATCACAGACACCTGAAAGGAGCATTATTATCCCAGCAGCCACAAAACCACCAGCACTCCCAGTCCTCCGCTTCCTTGGACGGGGTTACTATTATCCCCACTTTGGAGGTGAGGGCGGTGAGGCACAGAGAAGCTGTTCACAAGGGAAGAAATCTTTGTCACTAAGGAAATAAATGGCAAACTATTTAGGGGTAAAAGGATACAATATCTCGAACTTACTTGTACACATGCATATGCATGTACGTGCACAGAGAGAGAGAGGAGCAAACGGGGCAAAATGTGGACAATTGATAAATCTGGGTAAAAGCAGTGGAAATCCTTTGTACCACGTTTTCAACTGTGAAGCCTGGCATATCAAAATAAAAAGTTACCCCTAAAAAATCTGATTTAGCAGAGATTGCCAGTTAATATAACACCTATTTCTTCTTCCTCCTATAGTCAGTTAGCTTATTTTTCCCAGCCTCCTTTGCAAGTGGTTGAGTCCCCATGGGCAGAATACCCTCAGATCCTCTTGTACCCCTGCCCCCTGGCTAAATACACTCTCTGGATCATGCTACAGTCAGCCACTTAACCTCTCTGGGCCCCCTTTCTTTAGTTCAATGGGGATACTCAGGGCAGCCTCTCAGGGCTGTTGGTGGATGGCCTGGAATAAGAGCTCAGAGTGGGGAAATGCTCTGTGAAGAACCCAGGCACATGCAGACTGGAAGGTGTTTGGAGGGTGTCAGTGAAGCTGACAGACAGTCCTGGCTGCAGTGACAGCTGGCTGAGGCCAGAGTCTAGCACCATCGTCCTGCTAGCAGCTTCAGTCCCAGAACACAAGACATTACCACTCCCCCATACCCAGAAGCTCTGTTGGTTCCACCTCTGACCTGGTAACCTGTCCCAGCACCTCCTGGTCCAGGAAAACCTGTGTCTTATGGCAAACACGGACCAGGGAAACATTCCTCTGCCACCAAATGGGCCTCCCTTACCGCACAGGCCACGGCCCTGGGACTTGCTGGCTTTGCTGGCCTCCACGATCATGAGTCCTGAGCTGTGTAGCCACTGGATCTGGATGTTTGAGGGTGTCCGGATCACATACATGTGGCCTGTGTCCTCAATTTGGAACCCATACCTGCTCACAGGTGGCCGCACAGCCTGTGAGTCCACAATCACCTTGAGGGGAGGGAAGTTCTGTGTGAGCACAGCTTGTCCATTAATCAAGCAATCTGTCCATCCATCCATTCTTTGGCTCATCCATCTGTCCATACATCGTCTGACAAACATCCATAGGCACCTCCTATGTGTCAGGCTCTGTTTCAGGCACATGCATCCAAGATACAGTCCATGGTGTCAGGGAACAATTCTGAAGATATTTTTATGAGCAAATAATCAATAATACAGGAAATGCAACCACAGGAGGCAGGCTGCACCTTGATGTCTGCATAAACATAGACCCTGAGCTCTTGTAATCACTCTCTTCTTTCCTGATTCTGTTCGGTCATTTCTTCTGGTAGATTTTTCCCTCAGTCCTCAGCCTTAAGGTCAGAACCCTTTCTCTGGGGTCTTCTCATCCCTGTGCTAACAATTAAGACAGAATCTATTTGTCCATTTGTAAGGTCCCAATGGACAGTGAGTCTCTTAAGGGTAGAAACTATGTCTGATTCTTTGCCCCAACATCTGCCTTTGGAATGACATAAATTGGAAGTTCAATCAATATTTGTTGAACATTCAACACACCTAATTCTCATGAGCATTTTAAATTCAAAGGTACAATTTTACTATATACTGACAAAGTTAAATCTGCATGTATCATGGATTGTTAGGTTTATGTTATAGAACTGGAAAGAGAAGATTAAGATTATATAATATTTATTATGGCTTAACTGTCTTCCTTCAAGAATACACTGTTCCATTAATCACTTTGCAAATTACCCAGCACACAAACTATTATGTTGGAGTAGAGGGAGCTCCAGCCTAGGAGCCAGAAAACTTTGTGACTTTTGGCAAGTCCTTGGCTCTCAGATAGCCCAAGCCTTCCCACGGTACTGGCAGGGGCTTGGACTCCATGCTCCATGAACACATTCCGTGTTCTGGGAGTGCACGTCCATATCTGAAGCCCAGACAGCCTCACCTGGATCCACGTAAGACAAAAGCCTTGAACTTCTTCGGACCAAGATGGAGTAATAAGAACTGGCTTTACCCTCTTGCCTAAATAACTCAAACCCGACAGAATGCATGAAAAGACATTTAGCTATTGAACAGTTGGTGGTGCAGGAGAGCGATCCCGAAGAAGGTAATAAACGAGGTGAGCCTTATGACTGTTTACTGCTTAGAGATTTTCTAGGCCCCAGTAAGGCAGGGAAGGACACAGGTGGAGGCTAGAGGTTTCCTTGAATCTGAGGTTCACGGGGCCAAGATAATTAGTGTGCAGGGCAGAATACTGAAGAGACAGAGAGGTGTGTGCCGGAGCTTTGCAGAGAGGACCCTTCCACCCACCCAATGACACTGTTCTGATTTTTCAGTTGAATATTAATCAATTTGTACAGGTAAGAAAACTATCTGACACTAGCAGAAATCCACCTGAAAGAAACAGAGAGAAAAAATCCTTACAGCTAACACAGGGCTGGGAATAGCTAGAGCTACCACTACCTAGAAGGGGAAACAAGGCAAAACATAGAATATAAGGTAGGGAATACAGAAAGGTATGCTTCCACATTGATTCCTCAATACGGAAAACAAAGGATAAGCAATAAAATCTCTCTTATAATAAAGGCTACTCTGGCAAGTCTCAAAATGATCAAACAATTCCTAAGTAGCATAACTGTTGTAAAGCCCAAGAATATTTTAAAAACAAAATAAAAGACTATCCAGAAAGGTAAAATTCACAATGTCTAAAATCCAATAAAAAATGTCAGTTACAAAAAGAAACAAGAAAATGCAACTCATGACAAAAGAAGAAAATAAGTCAGAATTGACCAAGAAATGACACCTATGATAGAACTGGTAGACAAGGACTAAAGCACAGTGATCATAACTATTATCTACATGTTCAAGAAAGTAAAGAAAAACATAATTATGTTGAGGTGATATGCCAAAGATATGAAAGAAACTCAAACTTCTACAGATGAAAATACAAGTTCTAAGATGAAAAATTCACTGAGTAGGATTGACATGTTCAGACAATATAGATAAAAAGATCAGTTAACTTGAAGATAGAACAATGGATATTATCTAGAGTGAAGCATAGAAAGAAAAATGCCAAAGAAAATGAAGAATAAAATGTAAGTGGTATCTAGGACAGCAATGACTATCCTAAAATTGGAATTCTAAGAAAAGAAAGGAATTACCAGGCATATCATAACAAAGTTCCTTAACCTGTAAAAATATGAAAATTTTAACAGCAGGGAGAGTGGGCAGTATACATGGAGGAACAAAGGTAAGAATGACAAAAAAATCTCTTATCCAAAATCATCAAGGCAAAAGATAGTGGAATTTCATAACAGCACTATTTATAATAGCCACAATGTGGAAACAATTCCAGTGTGTATTAATGGTAAATGGACAAACAATATACTGTATATATAATATTATTCAGCCATGAAAATGAATGAAATATTGATACATGCTATAGTGCTGCAAAATCTCAAGATCACACATTGCTTGGCTCCATTTCAAAATGTCCAGAATATGCAAATATATAGATAGTATACAGATTTGTGGTTGACAAAGGTTGAAAGGGGAGGTCAAGGGAGAACAACTGCTTAATGCACATGAGGTTTCCTTTTAGAGTGGAAAAATATTTTGAAACTAGATAGACGTGATATTGTGAATGCACTAAATGTCACTTAATTGTATACTCAAAATAATGTTGTTATTTCAATATCACCTCAATTTAAAAAAAAAAAGGGAAGCAAAATTTTTAAAGTACTGAAAAAATGTTAACATAATTCTACACAGGTGAAACATTTTTAACATTAAAATGAGATCAAGACTTTCTCAGACAAACAAAAGTTGAAACAATTTATCACCAGCAGACCTTCACTACCACAGTATTAAAAGAAGTCCTTCAAAAAGAACAAAAATGATATCCAATGGAAATTCAAATCTATACAAAAGAATAAAGAGCACCAGAAATTGTAAATATGTGGATAAATACAAATTTTTCTTGTAAAATCACCTTAGGAGATAACTGGATGGATAGGGGAAAATGCACTGTGAAGCTTATAACAAATGCTGTAAAATGAATGATAGCAATAGCACAAAGACTGCAAAAGAGAAAATGGAAATATACTGTTTAAAAGGCCATATGCTACTTGAGATATGGTATAATATTATTTGAAGCTAGATTGTGACAAGAATTATATACTGTAATTCCTAAAGCAACCACTGAAAGAGAAAAAAAAATTTAAAGCATAGTAATAATCCATCATAAGAGATAAAATAGAATCATCAAAAATAATCCCAAAGGAAAAAAAAAAAAAAAAAAAAAAAGGTATTAAAAAAAGGGCTGGGGATTTAGCTCAGCGGCAAAAGCGCCTGCCCGGCAAGCGCAAGGTCGTGAGTTTGGTTCCCGGTACCGGAGAAAAACCAAAAAAAAAAAAAAAAAAAAAAAAATCCCAAAGGCAGAAAAGAGAGAGAGAAAAGGGGAGGGCAAGGACTAGATGAAATAAATAAAAAACAAATAACAATATAATATACATAAACCTAATCATATTGATGACCTAATTAAATGTAAATGGTCTAAACACCACCAATTAAAAGGCAGAGATTATTAGACTGGATTTTTTTTTTAAAAAAAAAAAAAAGGAAGGAAAGCCTAACTATTCACTTTCTAACAAAAACCCCACTTCAAATAAGCCACAAATAGTTTACAGGTAAAAAGATGAATATACCTAGATATAGACTATATATATATATATATATATATGCTAATACTAATTGAAAGAAAGCTGGAGAAGTTACTACAGACAAATTAAAGTAAAAATCAGAACAAAGACACTGCCAATATTTTTTAACTAGCCATTTCGTAAGGATAAGAGGTCTAACACATCAAAAGGACAAAGCAATTCTAAATGTTCTATGGAATTTCAAAATATATGAATAAAAAACTTATGAAACTTGAAGAGCTAAATCAACAATTGCAACCAAGGGTTCCAATGTCCTCTCTCTCCCTCTGTAATTGATAGAACAGGAAAACAGAAAATAAGGATTTAGAGACTTACCTAAACACTATCTACCAGCTTGACCTGACATTTAGAGAATAACCCCACCACAATACAACAGAAGACAATAAACAACACAAAACAATAAAATAGCATTTACTAAGAAAGGGTATATTCTGGAACATAACACAAATCTTACTAAATTTAAAAGGATCCAGGTTGAACAACTTATATTAACTGAACACAATGGATTTAAATTAACAATCAGTAACAGAAAGTTATCTGGAAAACCACCAAGTATTTGGAGATTAAATAAAACACACAATCCATGGGTCACAAAATCAAAAGGGGTATTTAAAAGAATTTTGAACTGATCAAAAAAACCCCCAACATGTAAGTAATTAAATCAGTACAGATGGATTCAGTCATAGGATACATCTAAATCAGTACTTTCTTAGAGGATGGATTGTAGCAATATGTACTTATACTGGCTAAAGAAGAAAGGTCTGGAATCAGTGACCTGGACATCCACCTTAACAAACTAGAAAAGAGTAAATTAAACCCGAAGGAAGCAGGAGAAAGAATGTAATATAGTCAACAGCAGGCATCAATAAAATGGAGACTATGCAAATAATAAAGAAAATGCACATCCCCCAAACAAATGTAATTATTATTAATCACCAATATAGATAAATAACAAAAAGAAAACCTGTAAGTCCGTTCTTTGAGAAGAACAACCTGACAAACCTCTAGCCGGTTGGTCAAGGAAAGGGGGGGAGGCGTCAATTACTATCAGCGCTATCGGTGCCTCCTCCCAACCGCTGCCGCTTTCACTGTAGTTTTTCTTTCTCCAGAGTGTCACACAAATTGCACCAAAGAGTATATAGCGATGCTCACCATGTTTGGCATGACAGAACTGTTCTCTATTGGGACTGGGAGTTACAGACTACAGGTCTTTGTTAAAACCTATAGAACTGTAGATTAAACAAGAGGCATTTACATATGTAAATGATCTCTGAATTTTTTAATGAAAGATTTAAACACTAAGGAATGAAACTCAGAGAGATTTCTGCTTAAGTGTCCATCTGGTGATAACTGTCTTGAGCCATTTCTGAGAGCTCTGGCGGGATGATGACCTTGTGTTCGGAAATCAGGGCAGATTCCAGAAGGCTGCAGATTTTGGCTTAGAAACTGGGGAAAGTCATGACTGCGGGACAGGAGCAGAAGACGATCTGGCTCTTGCATGCTTGTCGGGAGTAGCAGAGGCAGGCCCTGTGGGGATGGAGCCCCACACTCCGTCCTCTTTGGCTGAGATGATTTAAGTCAAGCTCCTGAAGCTTAAATGCAGGGGCTCCTCAAATCTACAGTTCTCTTCTGGAAAGGGGCCCTAATAATGTGTTCAAAGGGCCACAGATTTTTTCAGTGGCAAAAATGAGACATTTCTAACAGCACTTATTTAAGGCAACTGTCCCTTACCACTCGGACTTTGTTTATATCCCTCTTGGCACTCCTCCTCCTTGGATGTTAGGGTGAGCACAAGCATTCTAACTAAAATAACTTCCAAATACATCTTATTTTGCATTTTTACAAAAGAGAGTCTCCTTCCACCTCTGTCCCCAACCCTGTTTTGAGCACCCCCTCCCCCATCCTGTCCCTCGGAGACCGCTGTCCTGCAGTGCGGCCGCCTGACTGATGCGCTCACCTTCCTGTTGAAGCGGTCAGCGGTGACTTGATGGGCCCGGTGCGTCACATTCAGTATCACCAGACAGAATGGGGGCCAGTTCAGGTGTCCCTGAGGAGAGAGCCCATCCTCATGGCCCCGGGGTCCTGCCCCGAGTGCCCCTCCCCGTGAGCAAGCGCAAGGAGGTGAGCACAGTCACAGGGCTGTGCACGTGGAGCACCTCTGGTCTCCCTGATTTCATGCAAGCCCGGCACGAAAAAAGAAAGAAAAAGCTGCCTCCTTCCATCTGGCTCTCAGGGGCAACCTACTGGGCAATGCCAGGCAGCCAGCACCCATGATCACAGGCATCAGCCTCAGAGTCCCTGTGCCATCCCGGGGAGCCTAGACAGCTGTGAATTGTGCAGGGCCCAGACTAGCCAGGAGGTGGCGCTCTCTGCTCAACTCTTCCCCGTGGTCACCCAGGGAAGCCGCCAGTTGGCCTGCAGCAGGCAGGCTGTGACCAAGCCAGCAAAAGCGAGGGAGGTAAAGGGAGCTGCTGCTGTGAGGGTTTCCACACCTTTCCCCACCTCTGGCACCCCTCAAGACCCAGCTGCCTGCCCGATCTCCCTGCTAAGGCTAGTTACGTGCCCAGGTCCCGGCAGGGTGGGAAGCAAGGGGCAGTCACCAGGTTGGCGCTTTTGCAGTCAAGGGCGTGCACAGTGATCATCTCATCGGGGCTCTGGCTGAGGATGTAGATGGCCTCCTGGAACAGGGCTGCGTGGCTCCCATCGAAGGTCACGAAGCTCAGGTCAGGGAAGATTGAGCACCGGCCTGGGGACAAGGGCGGGTACAGAATAGATGCCTCCGAGGCCAAGACCGCCTAGGAAGATGGCGCAGCTGCCTGGGCCCTTTCTGGGTGATTCAGAGACCCTGGGAGCGAGGGGGTCCCTTGGATAAAGCACCTCACAGACAGCAGAGGGAGCAAGGGTGGGGAATCTGCCAGGCCAGGGCTCACGCGGGGTGAGCGGTCTCAAGGAAGGGGAGGCGGAGGAGCACACAGATCAAGGGTAGAGGTCACGCTGGGGAAAGGGGGTGGTGAAGGGGACACAAAGCCTCCGGCTGACCCATGACTCACAGGCACACTCCCAGAGGGGACAGCAGCGGTCCCCGCCCACCCGCACTGCGAGGCCCAGGACCCCACAGCGGGGGCGGCCAGCACCCTGGGGGCAGTGCTCCGATTGGTTCACACGGATCAGCTGGCCTTCTATGCAGATGTGGCGGACACAGTCCTGCTCCGCGATGGGCTGGGGCACAGAGCAGAGGGACAGGTGAGTGTCTACCCCGAGGGCTGCAGCCCCCACCCTACCCCCAAGTCTGAGGCACCAATGCAAAACCGGTAGGGAGTGGTACCTCCCCCTCCCCCCACTGGGCATGCGGGTGCACATAGCATTAGGCTGGAGACCAAGGGAGATACCCTGAGACCTTTGCACTTTGCATAACCCCCTGGCTGGCACTGAGAGCTCCGAACACAGCATACAGGCACAGTGGCTCACACTCGCAGGCACCCAAGCACAGGCACACACACACACTCACACATGCACACTCCCTATTTCACACGAAAATGTCTCACAACACCATGCACCACACACTCACGAACACACCGACACACAGGGACTCACTTTAACATGTGAACCCAAAGCTAACATCCACACACAGCTTCTGCTCAGGTCCTCAGGCACAACGAGCACCTGTCTTCACAGGCACCTCCTCATCGTCAGGCCCTGGGCATCACATCACCCATCTAATCAGCACCCTGGGCCCAGACGGGCGGGGCAGGGCCTGCTGTGGCTTCAGGGCCCCCGAAGAGCACCAGGAGAGTGGGTCGGGGGGGCACACACTCCACTTCAGTCTCGCAGCCTGGCTGCCGGTTAAGGGACCGGGAACGTGAGCCTGTGGTGTCCAGGGGCCCAGGGGAGGGAAGGCACGGAGGGGAAGTCTACAGACAGGGAACAACCCTGACAGATCACTCACAACACAGGCGGCAGATGCGTTGGCCTCAGTCGTTGCCGAGGTCTCAGCTGAGCCCGCGATGCCGTGGACTGGGGCCGAGCGCCCAGACTGCTCCGTGGTGGCCTCACCCATGGGCACCACTGGCAGCTGCGGTCCAGCTGTGGTTCCTTGGGCCTCCACCAGCTGAGGCAGCAGAACCAGCGAGCTCTCCCAGGAAGCTGTCCTGGCTGAGACATGGCTCAGGGGATGGGACGTGGGCACTGGGGGTCCTGCGCCAGCCCATGGGCCCTTGGCCTCAGTTACCAAGGGAGTAAGAGTGCGGGCCACGGCTGGTGTCAGCCCAGTGGGCCCACCCTCGGCAGAGCCATGGACGGAAGTGGGCAGGGACACGTGCTTGGACAGGATGGCCACTTTCTGCGTGGTGCTCTTTCGTGGGAGAACGGATACCGTACGGGCCGCCCCTGCAGCCACAGCCACAACTCCAGAGGTTGGCAGTGTGGCTCCCAGAAGCTGTCCTGGAGCCGTGCTTGCTGTCTGAGAGGCTGTGTGACTGGGTGGGTGTACCTGGGCCCCCACAGCCGGGGTGACAGGCAGGGCGGGGCTCAGGGTCCGGCCCGGAGGAGTCAGGGCCACTGCCAGAGACGTGACTCGAGGCTGATGTGGAGGGATGGTGACGGAGCCCTTGGGGCCGGGGGTGGCCACCGAGGCAGACGTGCCCGCCTTGGCCAGGGGCAGGCTGGTGTCGGGAGGCAGGCCAGAGAGGAGCTGGGATGGCTGGGTTGACTTCGGGGACAGGAAGGCTGTGGTTCCCAGCGCCCGGGCAACTGTGGACAGGCTGGTGGCAGCTGGGGTCTCTGGGGCCGGAGCTGGAGGCCCAGGGGCTGTGGGGCCGGGCGTGGTGGGGCGGGGCGGGGCAGTGGGGACCAGGCTTGGATGTGGGGATGCTGGCAGGCCCGTGGGCTGGCCGTGCCCAGGTTCGCCCTTCCCTGTGGATGGCACCTCCTCCATGCCCTTGGTGGCAAGGGGGCTGACCGGACCCTCTTCTGCTCCTGTGCTAGCCACAGCTGGGGCGCTGCTGCTCTGGGTCTGGGGGGCCTGGGGGGTCCCTGTCTTGTGCATGGCCTCAGTCACTATAGGTGTCAGCAAAGCTTTGTGGGAGCCCGAGGAGGAGGGCGGCCTGGAAGTCACCCCAGGGGGAGCCACAGGCCTGGAGGAGGGACCTGGTGGCGGGGAGGGCTGCAGGGCTGTCGTCCTAACAGGCAAGGAGCCACGACCTGGAACCGTCACAGCTTTGGTCACGAGCGGGAAGCGTGGTACAGAGGGTGACCGGGAGGAGACTGTGATGTTGGCGCTCCCTGCAGAGGTCACAGTCACCCTGGTTGTCTCCACCGCACCTGATGCCATGCCAGGTGTGGGTGTCTGCATAGCAAGGGGCAGGGATGAGGATTCCCGGAGGCGGGAGGTGGCCGGGAGGCGGGAGGTCACTCCCCTGCTGGCTGGGGCCTCTGTGAAGTGGACAGAGAAGTCAGAAGCAGTGAGCCCCAGGGGCTGCTGCGTGGCAGGCTGGGTGGGACCTGGGGACAGCACTGGCCCCTCGGTGGCTGCCATCAGAGGGTTCAGAGCCTCCGTGAGTGAGGCTGCCGGGCTGAGGGCTGGCCTGAGCGTGGCACTGTCCTGCAGCTGCTTGTCACTAGGGGTGGACAGCACTTGTCCAGGAGGCAGGGTCTCGCTGCCAAGGGTCTCTGGGGGAACCCAAACAGCTGGCTCCACACCTGGGACAGATGGACGAGAGAAGAAGGTTGAGAGGTGGGGTACTGCCGCCCCAGGCCATCTCCCTGGGCAGGACCAAGGTGTGGGGCTGGAGGTGACGGTAGAAGGCAGCTTCCGATGGTCAGGCAGCCAGGAGCCTCTGCCCTGGCTCTGGGCAATCTCAGAGACAGCGGCTCTGCGCCTGCATGCTGCGCTGCCCAGAGCCGGAGACCGGAGCTACGTCTGACCACCTCAGACCCACGCCGGGCCTGTGCCTTCTCCGGGCCTCAGTTTTCTCACTGGAAAGGGGCCAAGTGGGTGGGATGGAACCTCTGCCTGCCCTGAAGTGGTCTCTTCCCTGAGGCCCATGCTGACCCTGCTGCCCAGGAAGCAGAGGCTCTGGGGGCAGGTGCTCAGTGAGACCCTGGGGACCTGGAACCCAAGGGAGAAAGGCAAAGCTCGGTCACTCACAGTCCTCCAAGTAGACGCATCTCTGTGTGACTTCGTCCAGGACCTTGGGGCCGGGGCACACAGGGACACAGCCTTCCACCCTGTGGATGGAGCAGAGAGCGGGTCAGTGGTCTAGAATATGGGGTTGGTCACCCCTTTTCACCTGCATAGAACACAGGTCTCGTCCTTCTTTATGACGTGTGTGCACATGCTTAGCATGTACACTCTCATAGGAACCTCCATAGAGACATGTCATATGTGCACATATTCCCAAATATGTATGCAATGCACTTGTGCACATACCTATCCCCACCTCTGGCCAGGAGGGAGAACACGTGAACAAGACATGCAAAGGCACATGCTTGTGATATGTTCACATGTTGCCACCTAGGTACAAATCACACAGCCTCATGTATACATGAAAGGTATACCCTTCAAGCCTACAACATACCAAAATACTCACACATACATACACACATACATAAATACCATACATCCACATGGCCCCACAAACATCAGTGTGTATGCACTCATGCACACACCCTGCTGCACACATCATCCACATATGTGCAGCTCACACAGACGCATACAGAGAGCTGTACACAGCCATGCATACTTGTACAGAAACACACACACAAGATTCCATGTGTACATCATGCACAAATAGATATATATATCACATGACACACTCGTAGATAAAGGCACAATTAGCCTGGCCCACGTATCCCCATACATATGAGAACTCACACACAGGTGTATCTAAGCACACATGTGTACCTTAGCACATGTTCACACTCATGCCCACACACTACATACAAGCCTGTTCACAAGTGTATGTGTGCAAAGGTGTGCACACATCTTGACTCCACACCCACAGTCCCTCACCCCGCACCTGGGCACATCCTGGCATCTGGCTGCACGTGGGTCCCGGCAGGTTTGGAAGCAGGGGCTGGCACAGGCATCGTAGCGCCATTCACAGACAGGGTAGGCAGCCCCCAAGGGCTTGGCATCTGAAGAGGTGACCCGCCCCAGAGTCTGGACTGAGCGAGACCAGGCACCAGCCTTGAGGAAGGTGCCAGAGCACAGAAGAGCCAGAGCACTCAGCCCCTGCCCTCCCTGCCCAAGAGGAGACCGGAAGAGTGCTGAAGGGGCTGTCTCCATGGTGACAGATTGGCCTGTGGGTCCTAGGGCTGGGTGCTGCAAACCCGGTGTAGGGTCGAGCCTGGGGCGGCTCTGGCGGGTCACTACAGCTGGGCTTTGGGGGTGGATAAAGAGGATACTTGGGCCTCTGATCTCCGTGCAGCTGCCCCCTTGCCTCCCCTCTGGTGCCAGGCTTGCCCTGCATTACCTCCCCTTGCCCTGGCCTGGCAGGGCCACTGGCAACCTCCAGGGAAGAAAGAATTCGTCCCTCAAGGGGTGAGGTGAGGCGCCAGGACTCTTCCCACCTGAGCCCACGGCCCCCCTGGGCATGCGGTCCTTGCTGGGTGAGGGGGCCACCCTCTCCCAGCGCTGCCTCTGTTCCCCAGGTCCCCCCTGAAGGAGCCTCGAGGGCCTGAGTGCACACGAGCACCGTCCTTGCTGCCCCAGTGGCTGGGCTAACGCTAAGATCATGATGGCAGCTGCTCTTAAACACCATGAGGGAACCAAGAGCTGATGTCTGGGGTGCAGCTGCCAGTGTCAGGCCTGGAGCTATGCCCCCAAGGGCCAGTCAAGCTGCACCAGATCCTTGTGAGGCATTTCGTAGGTGGAGCCACAGCATGGAGACATGGAGGCCCCCTCCAAGTGCCAGGACAGGGTGAGCATTTGCGCCCAGGGCTGCAGAGCCTGAGCTCTTTGCGCTGTGCCCCTGTGCCTTCCCGGAGAGGACTCAGGGTGTCCTGTGGTCACAGCTGAGGACGGCTCTGTCCCGGTGGGTGGGCATCACCGGGGACTCACACACAACAGCTGGATGTAAGTGTGGCTCCTCCGGGTTAGGCGGAGATCGGCATTTTGGGGACAGGGGCACGCTGAGCCTTGGCCTTGATGGGAAAGAGCAGGGAGCTGCCCTGTCACTGACCCGGGGGCCAGGCCCCCCATGGGGAATGAGAGAGGCAGCTGGCTGCTCAGCTGGCCCCAGAGAGCGGTCCTTAAGCTCACGGGCAGACATCCCAAGAAACCTGAGCCTCAGGCTCCCCAAGCTGCCACCAGGATCACTTCTCCCTCACTTCCACAAAGGCCACGTATTTTTAGCCCATGTAATTGGCCTGGGACAGTAGGCAGGACCCAGGAAGTTGGCTGGGCCCCAAGCCACACAGCCCGCAGCTTCCTAAGCCACTAACACAGAGGACAGGCCACCTCCGACCCCAGAGTGGCCCCCGGTGGCCTTCTGGTCCCAAGAGCAAGAGGACTCTGTCTCTTGGAGTAACAGGAAGGGAGCAGTGGGGAGAGGGCAGGAAGAGAGGGTGAATGAGCACCTTACCCCAAGGACAAAGGATGGTGGCGGGTGGGCACCTACCCAGAAGGCGGAAGAGTGTGCCCCTGCGAAATGCCTCCGTGTGCTCATACAGCCGCAAGGCCAGCACAGACCCCGACACGTAGAGGAAGAAGCCAGGCTTTGCCAGGGACTCCAGGGCCACCAGGCCCTCCCGCCACGTCCCCCGGTGCAGCGAGAAGGAGGCGTGGTGGTGGAAGCCTTCACCGCCCTGCCACTTAGCCAGCTCCACAGACCCGTTGGCTGTGACGTGCAGGAAGAAGTTGGGTCTGTCCGCTGCCTCCAGGGAAACCACATCTGGGTCTGCACAGAGCAGGTCAGGTCAGCACAGAGAGCATCCAGCCCCAAGAGACTCAGGGTGACACCCCAGTGGACAATCCGCGCCCTCCTCCTCCTGCTGCCTTCTGCCCGCACCACCTCTGTCTGGGGGCTGTGAAGGGTTACAGAAGCCTCTCCACGTAGCCAGTCTTCCCGCTCCCAGGCCCGCCTCTGCTGCTTCCTTCCCTCTTCCCTCTGCAAGCACTCCTGAGAACCCTCTATGTGCCTGGCATTATCCTAAATGCCCAAGATTCAGCAGCAAACAGAACAGACAGAAACAGCTGCCCTGCAGGAGCTGCACGCTTTTGGACACATGGGACAAGCTGATGACTAGCCAGGTTTCAGTGTCCTGCCTTTGGTCCTGCTACTCTTAGAATCCCAGAGGGTCAGAGCTGTACATGGCCCCTAATCCAACCTCCAGCTGGCAAAAGAGTTCCAGAGAGAACGTTTACCCAGAGACCTGCAGCCTATGTTCTCTTTCCTGGCTCTGGAGTGCCAGTTTCTATGGCACCAGGGTGGCTGCTAGGTGGACAATTCCCACCCCTCCCCGCAGGGTTCCACAGATCCCCCAAGTCTCAAATTCACAAGCAGGTATAAGGAATGTCTCTGGGACTGAGTCCCAGGTCCCCACTCCCCATCTAAGCTGTGTTGTGGACGAGGGATTAACACCTAGGCTGAGGTAAGAGGCAAGCAATGAGGGATGTGTGGGAGGCCTGGCTCCACCCTGGTGCAACTGCACCCCTCACCCGCCCCCCATGTCCCCTCACACCTCCCTAGGCTGCAAGAGGGTATGCAGTAACCAGAGGAAGAGTTCGTTATTGATGTTAAGAACAACTGCTCTTTATAAATGGCTTACTAGGCCAAGGCAGCCTTTTCCTGCCTGTTGCTAAATTCCTTCAGGATCAGGAACAAGTCTATTCTCACCACTCACTCAATATAGAAGTCAGTATAGTTCCTGAAATTTTAGCTACAGCAGTTAGGCGAGAGAGAAAAAGGGATACAAATAGGAAGAAAAAAAAGAAGTCAAATTATCCTTGTTTAAAGATGATATGATTCTATACTTAGAAGACCCTAAAGACTTTCAGAGTTGCAGCAGTGCAGCAGGATATAAAATTAACATTTTAAAAATTAATAGCTTTACTAGGCACTGATAATGGACTGGCTGAGAAAGAAATCAGGAAAACAATTCCATTCACAATAGCTTCAAATAAAATAAAATACCTTGGGATCAATTTCACCGGAAGAGCTCTCCACTGAAAACATCAGAACACAGAAGAAAACACTAAAAGATGGAAGGACTCCCATGTTCATGGACTGGCAGAATTAATATCGTCAAGATGACCGTAGTACGAGAAGCAATCTACAGGTTCAGTGCAATCCGTCAAAATATTTTGATGCAGTCCATCAAAATATCAGTGACGTTCTTCACAGAACTAGAAAAACCAATCCTAAAATTTACATGGGAATACAAAAGACCCAGAATAGCCAAAGCAATCCAAACAGAAAGAGCAAAGCTGGAGGTTCACAATACCTGACTTCAAATTATACTATAAAAGCCACAGTAACAAAAAAGAGCATGGTACTGGCACAAAAATAGACACATAGATAAATGGAACAGAATAGGGGACACAAAAACAAACGCATGTGGCCACAGCCATCTGATTCTGGACAAAGGAGCCAAAAATATATGTTGGCCAAAAGACAACCTTTTAAACAAATGGTGCTGGGAAAACTGGAATTGCATTGTATAAGATCAAAACTAGATACCTGTCTCTCATCCTGTACAAAAATCAACTCAAAATGGATCAAAGTCCTATGTATAAGACCCAAAAGCCTGAAACTGCCAAAGGAAAACATATGGGAAACACTGGAAGTCATAGGTACAAAGACTTCCTGAACAGGACTCCAATAGCATAGCATCAACAAATGAAATTATATCAAATTAAAAAGTTTCTGCACAGCAAAGGAAACAATTAACAGAGTAAAGAGACATCCTACAGAATGAGAGAACATACTTACCAGCTACTCTTTCAACAAAGGATTAACATCTAGAATATATAAAGAACACAAAAAACTAAACACACACACACACACAAAATCAAACAGCACAATCAATACATGAGCAAATGAACTGAACTTCTCAAAAGAGAAGTTTGAGACACTTCTCAAAGGAAGTTCAAATGGCCAAGAAACTATATGAAAAAATGTTCAATATTTCCAGCCATTAGGGAAATGAGAATCAAAACTACTTTGAGGTTCCATCTCACCCCAATCAGAATAGCTATCATCAAGAAAACAAAAATACAGCCAGACATGCTAGTGCAAGCCTGTAATCCCAGCATACCGGAGCTGAGGCAGGAGGATCTCTGTGGGTTCAAGGCCACCCTGGGCTACAAAGTGAATTCAAGGCCAGCCTGAACTACAGAGAGAGACCCTGTCTCAAAACAAAAATAAATAAGTAAGTAAATAAATAAGACCTGCCATACGACCCTACTGCATGACTCTTTGGTATATTTTTAAAGCATTAAAGTCAGCATATGCTGGGAATACCTGCATACCCATGTTTATTATGGCACAATTCACAATAGTCAAGAGAGGGAACCCGCATAGGGCCCATCAGCAGAAGAAAGGATACAAAATGTGGTCTGTTTACAAAATGGAGTTTTATTCTGCTCTGAGGAAGAATGGAACTCTGTCTTTTGCAGGAAAATGGGTGGATCTGGAGACCATCTTGTTGAACAAAATAAAACAGACTCAGGAAGACAGCTATCACATGCTCTCCCTAATATTTAGAATCTAAAAGGCAGTAGAAGGGAGACTGTTACTAAGCAAGAGGAAGGGAATAAAAATGAGAGGAAGGAGGTAAAGGGCAGGTAATGGGGGTGCGGACATGAACAAAATATGTTATATGCACTGAAACCCCCCAAAGGTAAAACCAGGGGGCAGAAAGCGTGAGGGAAAGATGGAAGGGCTAAGCGATCAAAGCATGCTATGTATGTTTACACATCTGCCAAGTAAAACCCATAAATCTGTATAATTGATTAAAGACTGGGAAATTCCTGTGGGAACCCAGTGAAGTGGAGAATTCGTTCATCCAGCAGCAGATACCTACTGTGTGCCAGGCACTGTCCTAAGTACTGGGACATTGTAAGGGACAAAATGAGAGGAGTCCCTGCCCTCGGGGACAACAGAGTGAGCACATATATCCGAGGCCCAGACGATGATCTGGCTAACAATGGCCAAAGCGGCAGGACTGAGGCAAAAGCCAGAGTCCAGCCCTTAAGCACGGTGGGCCCCCGGGTGGCACACAGGAGCCAGCCCAAAGCGGCACCGAGGGCTGAGCACTGGCTCCGGCTGTGTGACCTCAGGCGAGTCACCCCTCTGCGAACCTCGGCTTTGAGGCTGGCCCAGACCACGGTTCCTCAGCCGTTTTCCTGAAGTCCTCTTTACTGAGGAAGGGCGATGCAAAGGCTTGTTTTCACTTAAAACACTCGAGTGACTTTTACCTCCCCTTCTCTAAGACGTGTTTCTTCCTAACCCCCTGCTGAGAGCAGCATGGCATAGTGGTCTGGAAAACAGACTCTGGAGCCCAAACGCTGGCTTCTTCTAAGGCTAAGCCCGGATCCCTTGGGTGACTCCTAACTTCTCCAGCCTCTGCTCTCTCCCCTATAAACTGGGGAGACAGCAACTGCAGGGAAGCCAGCCCTCCACCACACCTTACTTCCTGCACCAAGCTCTGCACCCGGGCTCACACCAGCACCAGTGTTACCCACAGCTGGGGAGCTCAGCTGCTCTAGGCTGGGCAGGAGCCACGGCTCCTTGCCGTCTTTCCAAGGACCCCGAGTCCCCTCGGGATGTCTTGACTCTAAGCTTAGCTCCCGAGTCCCTTCCCAATTCCTTGCCTGTTGGGGAGACATCCCTTATTTCAAGAAGGCACTTCCGCCTCCCCAAGACTGAGCCAGGGGCTTTTCTCAGTGCCCCTTCAGATGCTGTGTCCGCCTCCGCCATGTCGGTCCCCCCGTGGGACCGTGACCCTCACATCCCGATCCCCTGTGCCTAGCTGTGTGCCCGACATGAGAACACGGTTCAGTGAAAGACAGGAAGGCGAAGGGAGAGGGTCGGGGAGATCAAGGCGGAAAAGGGAAGCGGAGAGAATGAAGGGCCTCGGAGGAGGAGCAGGAGGAGTTGCCCCTGGGCTTTTCTGGGCCACAGGCTGCATAAAGTGAGGTGGGAAGGTCCATCCGGGGTTTAGCCTCCTAGTATTTTTTGGAAAGGTCCTTTCTTTTCACACAAGCTAAGACACTGACCTAGAAGCCCAGCCTGGACCAGGAAAGAGGAAACTGTTGAGCCCCATCCCTCCAGCCACGCAGCTGGCTCAGGGCTTCAGCACCCTCTCCTCCTGCAGGGCCGGCCTCCCTCCCAAAAGGGCCCAACCAGGCTGGAGCTGGGGCAGGGGCGCTTACCGTGGGCCGCGGCCTTGTACAGAGCAGCTGTCAGCAGGAAGCTCACAATGTCCCCCGGCGCCAGCTCCTCTGCCTTTACCAGGGCTATGTCATTGCCCACCGCCTTCACGGCCACCAGGGCGCCGCCAGCTGCCACACTGGACAGCTGGTAGGGGCCCTTACCTAGCGCTGGAGAGAAGAACCCAGTCAGAGCCCCATCGCCCACCCCTGTCGGAGGCGGGAAGAGGAAAGACCGGGGTGGTGCGGGGGCTGGGGTGGCTTCCTATCCAGGCCACAGAGACCTCGATGTCCACGAGAAGGAAGGGACACAACTCCAGATCGTCAGTACAGCATCTGAGTCATGCCACAGGGAGGGTGGGAGGAAGGCCACCTCCGAGGACATCTGGGCCCCAAATGTGTCTCAGGGCCCATCTGACTCCTAACACATGACATTACAGCCACTGCTCCACTCAGAGGCACCCTGGGAGACCGTGCACACCTGGCCTCTCCCCACCCGTGGCCTGAGGGATGCAGGTAGGAGGCTCAGACTCAATGTTCCCGCCTAGCTGTTTATTTTAAGTGTCACTTTCGTGTTTGGGAGGTTCCTGGCGCTGTGGGTGTGGGCTGGAGTGGGGCACAGGCCTCCCAGCCAGCTGTCTTGCTGCCCCTGGTGCTCCCCTGCCCTCCAGGGCTCCTCCGCACAGTTCCTTGAGTCCCCTTCCAGCCCTGCCCCTGGGGATTCACCTCTGGCTCCCTTGGCCTTTAGGACAGAATCCAACTATCTCAGTTTGAGTCCAGGGGCTCTTAGCCCCTCGCCTCATCCCCCCACTGGCCCCCTTCTCCCTGGTTTTCACCACACAGAACTTCTCTTGCTCTTCCTTGAAAGAGCCTCCCTGTGTCCTAGCTGTGACTCCATCATGCTGTTCCACCCCCTCTGAGTAGGTCTCCCTGTTTTGTGGCTGGCAAACACCTCCTCTGTCTTTGGGGACGAGCTGAAATGTCACCTCCTTGGTGAGTTCTCCCTGCACCCTCTCCTGTCTCACACACAAACATCATCCTTCCTCCTCTGCTCCCGGATAGCCTTTGGAGAAGCCACACATTGGTCACCACTCTATGGTGAGGATCTGAATTGGGGGTTCACTCCTGTCTCCCCCACTAGCTGCAAAGCAGGCAGTGAGTGCCCTGCTAGGAAAGGGTTGACAACCAGCACTCAGGAAAATAAATAAATACATAAACAAAATCAATCTAATGTATGTTTGCTGATTCCCATGGTGTAAATACTCCTAGCCGTGGTTAATATCAAATCCCCGTCTGAATGTGGAGTCGGGGGGACACTTAGTGTAGGCCAGCTCCAGCACACCGCTGTGACAGGTCCCATTCGCCATGGACATCCCAGCACCCTACAAGGGCCCAGACTAGAGAAAATGTTGGTAGAGGGACAGAGCGAGGAATGGACGAGTGGGTGGGTGGGTAGGTGGAAGATGCTAGAAACAGCTTGTCCTTTGCCAGTTACTGCCACCCGAAATGTCACAGAAGGGAGAAAACTCTGCTCAGACTCTTGCTGAAATGTCTTGCCTGATGTCAGGGTGACCTCCCCTGTCCCAGAAACTGCAATTCTCCCCCTTACAGATGCATCCATAGGGTGCGTTAAAGGTTTAGGGCCATCAGGGACCCTTAGGGGCTACCGTTTTAGCTGGACCATCTCTGCATTATTGTGCTACGCCCTGATCCAGGCTCCACCTTGCAAACCTTCTAACTGGTGTCGTTGTTGCTAGTCTGTCACGTCCATTCCACCAGCCATAGTCTGGTCAGGGAGATATTTCTCAAACCAAAGTCAGCTAATGCAGAAAACTGAGGGCAGGTCTTGGGCTATACCCACACAGGCTGGCCCGGCAGCGGTGGTACCTAGGGAGGGTTGGGGCTCAGAAGTCAGAGGTGAACAGCACCAAGGGTGGATGAGCGTCCAACTCTGCCAAGACCTGACCTGGGCCCAAAGGGATGAAATTCAGCGTTAAAAACCAAGCTGGGCAGGTTCTCCCACCTCCTGTTGCCCACTCAGGGCAGTGAAAAATTGTCGAAGTGGCTCTAACACTGGAAACGAATCTCCATTGGCTCCTTTGTTATGACCTGTGTTTTCACCCTCATTAATAATCTAGATGTTAAAGCACATCTCACTACCTTGTGACCTCGGCTATATTTGAAGATGGGCCTGACAGGCTGTATGTTCTGTACCAGCCTGCCTCAGAAAGAGCAATTTGCGTTTGCTTTTGCCAATTTTCATCTTTGCGGAACACAAGATGACCACCTGTGGGTCTGACGAGCTCACAAGAGGCTGCGGAGCTGGCATATTGGTGTAAATGGGGCTTTTACCTCCCGCTGACGCTGCAAGCTTTGGGTGAGCACAATCTCTGGCTCCACGTGGGGCCTGCAGGAACTGCTGGACACAGAGTTCCCGGACCGCCCCGGTCCCTGCACTGTCAAGGTTTTCTCTGCATGAGGGAGTCTCCATGTCACAGCTCTCCCCAGGGCAACAGAACTCAGACTGGTTGACGCTGATACGGGAACAAAAGCAGGGCTGGCAGCACCCAGGCCCTGAGGATCACCTAGGGATGACCGACTTACCTTTGTTAAAGAAATCGCAGTCGTATGCTGAAAGAGAGAACAGAGCCTTCTTAAGACCCAGCGCAGCGCCTGGAACAGACGGACAGAGCCGGGGACCCTGGCATCCCAGCCTCCCTCCTTCCCCAGGAGCTGGTCCTGTCCTGCCTCCCAAACTCCAAGATTCAAGGATAGTCTTCTGCCCAGAGCCTGGGGTGGGAAGGGGACCAGGACCCTCTGCAGCGTCCCTAATTCAGCGGAGAAGCTGCCACTGGAGGTGAGCTCCTTCTACAAGCATGGGCTCAGCGCGCCTCCTTGTGGCATAGTCTGGCAGTACAGCTTGCTCTTCTGGGGCTTTAGCTGTGGATTCCTAGGTGCACAGGAGTGAGCTGGGGACCTTGTGAGGACACCTAAGGGCAGGAGCAAGGCTGTGAGAAGCCAGCTGGACCTGGTACAAAGGCTGAGGAGGGCCTGCTTCACTCGTAAGCATGGTCTGAAGAGAGCCATCAACTCCACCCCATGCCTCAACCCCGTGGTCAAGACACTTAGCACTGCACTCTTGTGAGGGCGCTAGGAGTCAGGAGTCTACCTGCCCTGCGTTTGTGGATGAAAGGATTGAGTTAAAAATTAGAATATAGCCAAGTCTCAAGTTTCAGGTGAGTACCCAGGCAATGGGCGGCGTCCCAGGAGAGCCGTTAAAGGCCAGCTCTAGAGGGTCAGCGTGCAGTTCAAATTCCACCTCGCTCACTCAGTTGACCACACGGGGACAAGTTACCTGAACAGATCTGAACTTAGAGTCCTCCTCAGTGGGGCCACTGCTAGCACCTGCCCGGACTCCCTGGGTCAGGCAAAGTGCGCACTTCTGCTACAAAATTTCAGGTGGCCCCCAAATCTCAGTAGTTAAGATTGCAAAAGTGGTCAGAATCAAAATGGAGTCATTTGTGTCAACCCTCAATGGCAAGAATTAAATAGCAAATAAAGGCGGGGCAGCATGAGGGAAGGGCTCTCACACATGCACGCCTGGTGTAAGACCCAGTCCCAGGAGATGGTCCAGAGCCGCGGCACTGTACAAAGGGCGCAGAATTTGCACAAAGAACACTTCTGCAAGGACGTCCGTCCTGTAATCGTCTGTTCAGCTTTGGCCTGGCACCACCCTTATGAATACTTGAACATGTTTGATTTCTGTTCTTATAGCCTATGATTATTGTTTCGAAATACCTCATCTACTTCTCCTTACTTTGCTTCTAAAAACTTGCCCCGGCTTTAGTCTTTTTGAAGACACTCATAGCTTATTCTGGCGGGTACAGTCTCATTCCGATGCTCTGGAGCGTATTCCCTTCTGTGTGTTTAGACTGACGCCAGAACTGCTGCTTCAGTGCAATGTTTTTAACATAGCAAAATTAACAATAATCCCTGACAAAAAATATCAAAATGTTAAAATAAAGACTGGATCACATAACAGCGTTCCGCGGAACCACAGCAGAACATAAAGCAAGAGGGAAAATCAATAATATTGATCCTTTGAGATCTCATTCATCCAGGATATTTTTGTAATATTTTTAATTTTTAAAAATATTGCATCCGCATGTCGCTGTGCTTGGTCCCTGAGTTTGCTGGTGGTTCCCTAGTCTCCCACCCCACAGGAGCGCCTCATTCTAGTGCAGGTTGTTGAACGATGCCCCTGCGCCTGGCTCCCGCATACGTCAGTCCCTCTCTTTCCGGAAGTTCAGTCGTCCAAGAAGCAGAGGGAGAGGGCACCAGCTTGAGACAGGGCATCTGTGGCAAAGGCAGGGTGCTGGGTCAAACAGCAGAGGAAAGGGAGGCCAAGGGCAGCAGCTCCCCATCTTCTTCCTAAGGGTCCCCTGTTAGAGCCCTCAGGGCTCAGACATGCCAGCACCAACTAAAAAAGTAAAGGAACCCCCCACAATAGTGTAGAGCACTGTGCCAAGCACCGCATGTGCACGGATCACTTAACTCTCCCTGCACCCTGCAAGGCAGGCCGGCTGTCTTCACCCCCACTACAGACAGGGAGTCCCAGAGCGCAAGGAAGGTGGCCAGGTCACCCTGGCTTGGTGAAGAACCCAGGTCATCACCATTGTGCACCCACCACGGGTGTGCTGCCCAGGGAAAACCCACTGTGTGCAAGAACAAGAAACAAGTACTCAATTAACTAATAATCCGGGCTTCTATGTATTTTATTTCAGCCTTTTGACATTAATTTTTCTATATTTAATATATGAATAATATTAATGGCACTTTACATTATTTTGCAATTTTTAAAATATACCGTTAGACTACGGGAATATATGTAATATATGTATGTGTGCCTATGTGTGTGCTCAAAATATTTGCATATTTGTTGGGTGCGGTGGTGCATGCCTATAGTCCCAGAGCTCTGCGAGGTTGAGGCAGGAGGATCACAAGTTTGAGCTCCGTCTGGGCAACCTAGCAACTTAGAAAGGCCTTATTTCAAAGTAAAAAACAAAAACAGGTGGGGACGTAGCTCAGCACAAAGGCCCTCGTTCAACTCCCAGCATTAAAAACATATTTATCTGTTTGTTTATTTATTTACTTGATAGAGGTGTTTAATCGACAGTGTTAGCAGATCATCAGTGCTCCGGTGAAAGGGTAACTGCTGCCTCTTATGGGCCTTCACAGCTCGGTAGCAGAGGGTTTTTACATTCATTACCTGCTTGATCCTCAGAACAAAGCAGGTGGGTGGGTCTGGCCCTATTTTTCAGAGGAGATAAAAGAACCCCAGAGAGGCTGGATAACTTGTCCAAAGTCACACAGCATGCAAATGGCAGCACCGGGCCTGGAACTCGTGTAGCAAAGTGGTCCAGAGCACAGGTTTGCACCACACTATCGGGGGATGGACCTGGCTCTGCCGCTAACCTGGCTGACCTCAAGAATATGAGTTAACCTCTCTCTGGGGCACAGGTTCCCCACGTGTCCCTATTTCAAAGGGCCAGGGAGCAATACCCACCAAGCGGTGGGTACCTGGCACATGCTGAGTACTCAAGAATGTCGGCCCCACCCACCCTGGCCTCTGGGATGACGGGTGTGGGACACTCACGGCAGAGGCGGGGCGTCCTCCAGTCAATGGCCACCCCGTGCTGGCAGCACTGGTGGGCGTACGCAGACACACTGGCACAGAAGCACTCGCAGTCACCGCCCCGGCTGCACCCACACGTGTCCGTCAGGCAGTTGGAGTAAAACCAAGTGACATCAACCTGGGGGAGGTCAGAAGTCAGAGGTCAGAGGTCAGATCGTGAATATCAGACCTGCAGCTTTCTGGCTGCTGGCCACCAGCTCAGACACGAAGGGGCCACGGCATAGGCCGAGCTGTGCGGCAAGGGCATGGTGAGAAAGGCGGCCGGCTGGAGGACAGTGAGAGCCCTGAGGTGTGGGCAGACACCCACTGGGGACCTCAGCTTTCTCCTCCCTGAGCCCAGGGCAGAGCAGGCCCCGGGCAGGGCTGCATGGAGGCGGTGTGCTCGCCTGACAAGGGAGGCCGGCCAGGCTGAGACGGGCACACAGAGCTCGTGGACCCGGTGCCCAGTCATCCGAGGAAAGAGGCAGACTGGAGGCAGGGGAGTGGCAGGCACACGCCCCCTCTCTGGACCTGAGGTGTCTCCTCCAAGGCAGGGGGAGCTCTAAGAGCAGAAGGGCTCCCGCGAGAGTGGGAAGGGACTCCGGAGGGGCTGAGTTGGGAGACCACTCACCACAGGGTGGCAGGTCTCAAACACCTCGCTGAGCAGGATGCCACACTCCTTCTTGGCAAATGGTTCCCGGAGAGGATTAAGGACACACGTGTCCCGGGGGTCGAGAGTGTCTGGGCACTGAGGGCAGAGATGGGACTGCTGACCTCTCCACCCACTAAATGCCTGTTGCAGGGGTGTCCCGCCCGATCCTGCTTCCTGGCGTTGATGTCCTTGTGTAACCCCCTCCCCCTGAGAGTGGGAGGGGCCGACAACTTGCTTCAAACCAGGAGAACATGGCAAAGGGATGGGACGGACACCGTTATGTGTGTCTGATGACCTGGTTATGTTACGTAAGACCGCAAAGCCCAGCTTGCTGGAATCTCTCCCTTGCTGGCTACAAGGAAGCAAGCAGGCATGTGGGGAACCCACAGGGCCTGAAGTGTGGGTGGTCTCCAGGGGCTGACGATGGCCTCTGGCCACCAGCTAACCAAAGAGCTGGCTCTTCAGTCCTGCAGTTGCCAGGAGCTGGATGCCACCCACAGCCACAGGAGGAGACAGGGAAGCAATTCCTTCCCCAGTGAACCCTCCAGGAGAGCTGTCATGCTGCCTGTCACCTTGACGCAGCCTGTGAGTCACTAAGCAGAGGACCAAATTGTGTGCCCTGATTCCTGACCCAAATAAACTGAGGTAAGATGCGTGCGTTGTTTAATGCTGCTGAGTGTAATAATATTGTCACACAGCAACAGATAACTAATACACATTTCCCTCATGTCTGCTGAACCTGTTTCCTCTGGCCTACATTTCCACTGGTGTGCCCCAGAACATGCCTAAAGGCATGATAAAGAAATATGGGGTAGGACCGGGGGGCAATGATAAAGGGGTGAGGTAGGACGGGAACAGCTTTGCCTGCCTCAGGATTGCACTGAGCTCCTGGCCATGCCTGACTGCTCTGCCTACCCCATCTACACAGGCTCATCTCCACCTACTCCTCAGCAGAGAATTAGGTCGTCAGCTAGAAAGGCAAACAGGTAACACTCATATCACCACTCTCCATTGCTGTACCCATGACAGACAGAAGTAACAGATCGCAGTCCTCCTTCCTGCTGAACACGACACAAGGCTTAGCTATGTCTCGATGCAGCTCCCCAGGCAGCCTCTTGTGACTGCTCAGATTGTCACAGGAAGTGGAATCTAGGCACCATCCCTCCATTGGCACAGCCCCCCGCCTTCACAGAGAAGCACACCCATCAAGTTAGTGGATGATTCAAGACAAGAAACCAAGACTCTGGCTCAATTTGGTGCTGTTTCCCTCCGTATTTACACCTCAGCAGCCTCATAGGGAGTCTTCCAAGTCTCAGGGACGCTCCTCTCATTGCTTCCCCTGCTTGTTTTCCTCCCCCTCAGAGGCCTTCTCTCTGACGCATTCATCCATCCAAACATGGCCTCCCTGTTAACCCCAGCCCCAGTCCCACCTCTGTCAGGAAGCCTTCTCCAAGGATCGTGTCAACCCGTATCAGTGTCTCCTCTGTGCCATACATAGTGCCAGGCACCGGAGGCATGGGGGTAGCTAAGATGGTCATGCTTTGGTGAGCGTCACCCTCCCCACAAAGTGACCATCTCTCCTAGGATGGAGACTTTGCCCCCTCCCCAACCCTCCCCATTGCCCCTGGGACTTGGCCAGGTCCTCAGGCCACAAGACAGAGTCTAGGGCTAAGGATGCCAGTCAGGGGCTGGGAGAACATCCTCTGGAGCAGCATCAGGCTGACTTCCCTCTTCAGCATGGAGCCCGAGCCCATCAGAGTAGGGGTGCAGCTAGCCTGGGGAGGTTTTGCCTGGGGAGGTTTTGCCTGGGAAGGCTTTACCTCAACTGCAGCCCAACTGCTTCCAAACTCCTGGGGGTTGGTTAACTCTAGGTTCTCCGGGGTCCGCATTTCATTGATGGTTTTTAAGTCAAAGTTCCCACAGAGGCCTGTCAGCTGGCCCTAAAAGAGAGAGCTCCGGGTCAGGGCAGACATGCCAGGGGTGAGCATAGGCGGGGGGTCACTACGAGCCCAGGAGTCTACTCTGGACCCAGAAGTAACTGCTGGGGGCTGCAATTTGAAGAGGGATGAGGCAGTGTCTGGGGGGAAGGGCACAGAGTGGGTGGGGTGGATAAGACACAGACAGGCTCTTGCTGGCTCCTCGGAGAAGGACAGCTCGCCCAAGGACACCCAGTAGCTTGGCTCCTGCTCCGCTCATGTGACTACCTGCCACTGAGGCCCAGCCTGCACGTGCACTGTGGTCCTCTGGTCCCACAGGAGGGTGACGTGCTCCTGGGGGAAATGCACCAGCGTGAAGAACCCTGCTCGCCACGTGTGCACCTCCTGCTTCTCGTCCAGGAAGCTCTCAGGACTCTAGAGGGGCAGGTGGTCAGTCTTGAGGCCTGAGTGTCCCCAGGACCTGGGTCAGCCAGAAGCTCTGCCCACCTCCAGGACATCACCAATGCATTTGCCTCCCCTATGCAGTGACATCAATGTCTTTGTTCCGTTCCCAGCCAAGAAACGGAGCCTTAGCCCCTGACATGCTGTGCTGCAATCCTCAGTTCTGTCCTCCCCAGCCCCTTGGTAACGTATACATCGTCTACACACCCCTCACCGGCTCTGGGCCTTACAGGATTTCCTGAGTCGTCATCGAAGATGATGAGTGAGTTCCCAACATTGATGGAAATAAATTTCCTGCAGATGATGCCAGAATTGTAGCAGTTTACATTCTCTACAATCACAGAGAAGCTGAAATCCGACGTGCTCTGAGAAGAAAAGTGAATCCAGTGAAACCAGGGAGAGAAGAGATCTCACTGACAGCACAGAGGTAGAGAGACGTGAACTCTGAAGTGGTTTTCAATCCACTTTGTGTGACCTTGGACAACTTAATTGAGTTCTCTGATAGTTTTGGGAGCCTAGTATGGTGTTAAGCATGGAGTGACTCTCCCAAAAGCATGCAGTTAATGCACGAGTTAAGTAACTGACATAATAGAGATGTTTATGCCAACAGGGGCATGATCCTACCCACACTCTTGATGTAAGCCCCTTTTGGAGGGCTGTTTGCCAGCACTGAACATTTCAAAGGATATAACTTTTTGTACAGCAATTCCACTTCTAAAATTCTAGAAATACATCCCTATGCCTAGCTGCTTCAATATTTAAATACTGGAAACAACCTAAATGCCCACCCATGGGATATAATAAAACAAACTAGAGTATATTCTTTCTATAAAACATGCTCTTCAGCTGTTATAAAGAAAATAATATATACTGACAATGCCCAAGGTATACTTTTCAATGGAAAAGAAAGCAAATCGCTGAACCCTATTTATATAAAATGTGTGTGCACACAAGTATGTAGATGCACGTGTGTGCATGTGTGTGTGCATGAGAGCATGATGGAAAATGGTCTAGCAGGATTTATCCATGTTAGGAAAGATTACGCATAGGAGGATAGGAACAGAAGAGATGTGAAGGGAATATATGTTTTTAATATACCCTTCTATGTTATTATAAATTTTAGTAACAGGCATGCAATACTTTTGAAATTCTAGAAAATACGATGAAGTCAATAATCTTCATCTTGGAGAGTTATAAGAATTATGTGAAAGACCCCAGTACAATGCCTATTCCACAGACAGACGCCTTGCATAAAAGATTTCCTTGCTGTTATTGTTGCTATTGCTCTTATATGGTGCGATGGATAGGCCTTAGCAAAACCAAGTTGCCTGGTGTGTCCGACACTGTCCCGTCTGCATGGTTGGTGTCTTTCTCTCCTTCTGGGGCATCTTGCCTTCACTGTACCACCCGCATCACCACCCTTCCTTCTCTGGGTGAACCAAGGACTGTAAGACGTGACCCCACAGCAATACTAACTCTCCAGCTGCTGCAGACTAGCTGGTGATGTTGGGCAAGTTCCTTAACTTCCCAAGGTGTTCACCTTCTAGGTTGCTGTGAGACTAAGTGAAAGAACCCACAAATATGGCTCAGTAGGCCATCGGACAAAAACCCTTAGCTCATTCTCCTACAGACAGCAAAAGAGCAAACTATTCAGACCCAACAAGGCCAGGCTATAGTGATGATTGGACAGGCAGTAGAGTTCCCCCCAGCTCTGGCAGCCACACCCCCAATCACGCACCAAACTGGAGCAGAGTATAAAAGTACATGGCCAGGTCCTTGGGCCCAGCTGCTGTGGGCAGACACATCCAGGAGCTCACCTTGACCAGGTGTACTTTGCAGGCCCCCACAAAGTCGAATGGGAGCCCATCAAAGGTGCGGTAATGCCGGTCACCGTAGGCAGTGCAGGTGGAGGCACAGGGGTGCAGGATGCACTGGAACAAGCCCTGCTGGCAGATGCTGAAACACACACAACCAGTTAGCAGCGCCCCCTCGACACACCTTACACTCAAATACCCTTGACAGAGCCACTGCCTGCTGAATGCACCCTGTGTGCCCTTGGGCAAGGGGTCCACAGACATCATCAATAGAAGCAAGGAGAGTGTGATTGTGACCCCCATTTTATGCAGGAGACATGGGACTCACAGAGGTTAGGAACACCCAGCCAATAAGTAATAGGTCTTAATCTAGGTCTTCCTGACTCCAAAGTCTGTATTCTTATCACTAAATTTCTTCATCTAATAAATATTAAGTGCCTATAATATCCCAGGCATTCTTTCTTCCAGGAGTTTGAGATGTATCAGTGAAGAACACAGCAAAATAAACAAAGATATACATAACACCCTTGCCTTTTCTAGAAGATGAAAGATACACACTGAAAAATGTCCAAATATTTATTGTGTGTTGAAAAGTAGAGCACGCTCTGGGGGAGCAGGAGGAAGGAACTGGGAATGGGTTACAATATTAGGGGACAGGTAAGCAGAGACCTAGAGGTAGTAGGGGAGCTAACAATATGAACATCTCGAAGAAGAGCATTCTGGGAAGATGCTGTGGGGACAAGTCAGGAGGTAACATGGCTAGAATGGACAGTTCATGAGTAAGAGAGTAGAAGAGGAAGTGAGAGAGGTGATGGATGTCCAGATGGCATGGGTCCAGCAAGGCCCTGTAAGAATGTCAGCTTTTGCTAAGAAGGAAAGAGGCCACTGGAGGATGTGATCACGGGAATGACAAGCAGAAAGACCAGCCTGGAGGAAACTGCAGCAAATCAGAGAAGAGACAGACAACAGTGGCTCCAAGAAGGGTAACAGCAGTGGAAGGAAGAAGAAGTAGTCAGATTTGGGGTGCCTGCTGGAGGTGGAACTCAAAGGATTTGCAGACATCTTGGGTATGAGTAACAAGAAAGAAGACTCAGGATGACGCTGGCATTTCTGGTCTGAGTACCTGGGGGAGTGAAGTTTTCGTTTACCCCGATAGGAAGTTTGAGGGGAAAATGCAAGTGTGCAGTTTGAGATGCACTGAGGGTGAGACTTCCTTTAGACATGCGTGTGGCAGTGCTCACCAGGTAGATGGATGTCTGCGCTGGGAGTTCAGAAGAGTTACTGTGGTCTACAGGGAGAAAGCTGGGAGCCATCTACATGTGGGTGAGCCTTATTGTTATGAAACTGGGTGAGCTGACCAAGGGAATGGGTACAAATACCTGAGAGAAGAGGTTCCTTGGCATACTCTCCATACCAAAGAGGTCAGAGAAGAAGAACCAGCAAAGGAAACTAAGCAGAAGGAAGACAGTTAGGACAAAAACCAAGAGAGCATGGTCTTCCAGAAGCCACGTGAATACAGGCATCAAGTAGGAAGGAGTAATCAGCAAGTGACCAACTGTCAAATCCTGTTAATAGCCCTTGGGAGATGAGGACTAAGAAATGACACCAGTACAGCAAGACCGAGGTTACCTGTGACCTTGACAGGAGCAGTTTTGATGACACTGTGGGGAAAACGCCTAAGGCTGGCATCCTCTCTAAAATAAAGGAGGCTGGGGGGCGGGCAGTGAAAACTGGAAACAGCAAGTATAGTGAAGATTTTCCAGGAATTTTTACAATAAAAGGTGAGGAGAGAAATAGGTTACTAGGAAGTTGGAAGTTTATCAAACCATACACTTCTATACAGTGAAGATGATCCAACAAAGAGTGACAAATTGTTTAAGTGGATCAGAAATTATGACAAATCAGAAAGGGCAAGAGAATTGAGGCTGGAAGTTCTCACCGCATAAACCTGACACTGGTTATCAAAGAAGTGATGACAGTAGCAGACCTTGGGCTTAGGCGACAGGGAAGGGAAGACACAGGGTGAGAAGCAGTAGGGAAGTAGAAAGTCTGGATTAGCAATCCAGGTGGGGCTGAAGACTTGAGAGAATCAGGGAGCTAGAGGAGGTGGAGTGAAAGACAGAAGGCATTGAAGGATGGGGTATGGGCTTGCTGAGTTACTGGGAAGGACAAGAGCAAGAGGATGACCACCTACTCCACGAGGGTGGAGAAAGATCATTGGAAGAAAGGAGATGAAGGGGAGAAAAGGAAGATGAAGGAAGTGAGATCCTAGGAGATACTGGCCGTTGAAATCTCCAAGATTTCAAATGGATGTTGAAATGGACATTGAACTCTCCAAGAACTAGGGCAGAGGCAGAGTTAGATAAAGCAACAGGGAGTCCAGAGATAAAATCTAAGAGCAAAGGAGCATGACCTGGGATCCATGTGTGACAACAGTGACGAGGGGCAGGTTCTTTCTGCTCACGCACCATAGACACACTGAGTCACACACAAACTCCACGTCTTCCTGAGCCTGGGTATTCTCAATCGCACCCAAATGGTTTGCAACCCACATGGCCATGCAGGGTTGTCAGTGCTCCCACAGTGGCTGCCTTATGGCTGCCAAAGTGATGGGACTGAACAGAGCTGAGAAGAAATGGGCAGCCAGGCCCTGTTCTGGGGAACACATCCCACCCAGTGCTCAAGCCACATGAGGCCACGCACAGCTCCAGCACCCACTTCCTCACCACAGCAAGCTGGAACACAGATGCGGCGGCATGCTCCTCAAGAGGGAATGTTGGGAAGGTTGTGTACATGGAGTGAGAAAGTGGAATTTCAAAAATCGAATTAAGTTAAAATTTACCCATCTATCTCCCAATCTCCTAAAGGAGAGAGGATACCCACCCCGTGGCCAGTTAGCATTTCCTGAGAAGACAGAACCTTCTCCTAGGAGAGCTCCAAATGCTAAACTACTCCCAGCAGTCACTGGCCCTGGCTCCAGACTCTGTCTACCATCTTCTGCCTTGGATCTGATTTCCCAGGCCAGCGTGCTCACAGGAGAGGACTCAATAAAGCCTAGCTGTCTTGCTGCCTGCAGGTGGGGGCGTTGGGCTGGGGTATGGTCCAGGAAATGACAAAAGCAGGCCAGTCTCTGGACCCTAGAGCACCCTTGGCCAAGTCCGTGCCAGCCAGCCCGAATCTCTCACCACATGTCCCTGGCAGCCAGGTCAGCCCTGGACCATCACAGTCACAAAACTCTACAAACGCTTCAGTGCCTGCACAGAGCTCCGCATCCTGACATTAAACTCAGAATATTCTAGAATCAGACAGCCTGGGCTCCAATCCTCTAGATACACCCTGACAATCTGGGGGAAACTGTCTTGGAGCATATGGGCTAGATTGTGACTCTGTTCCTAGCATGAGAAGAAATGCCATGGCCATCCTCTGAGCCAGTGAAACAGAACAGTTTCACCTCCAGCATGGGACAGGGACCAGGGCTCCTGCTCCAGCTAGCTGGGTGGATCTCCAGGATGGAGCCTCTCTGAGATTTTCTGCAGAGTTCTTGGGTCCCAGTGCCAGGGGCTTCCTGAACACATTAGGCCACCCCTGCCTGGTTCTTGACATTGGAACAGGGGCTGAGTTTGCTTTCCAACCTCAGGGCACTCGTTTATTATTTCTCATCCCCTCCCCAGTACTTTCTCCATGAGAAGGCTGAGACCCTGCCTACCATCTACTCCTGCTGCTTGACCCAGCATAACCTCTACACAACCAGATCTGAGTCTGTTTCCATGAAACCAGTCTAGACTCACATACTCTCACGTAATACTGAACAGAGTGTGAAAATATACTCACATATGCACTCACTCGCTTTTGTATAGAGGCTTGTAAATATTCAAAAAAACAAATGCAAAAAAACAAATGCACACACACACCCTATAGATATAGATATAGATATAGATATAGATGATATAGATATAGATATAAATAGATAGCTATATTTCCAATGTCAAGAACCAGGCAGGGGTGGCCTAATGTGAAGGAAGCCCCTGGCACTGGGACCCAAGAACTCTGCAGAAAATCTCAGACAGGCTCCATCTTGGAGATCCATCACACGTGGACACAAATATGTTTATCCAGTACACACACATAGTCATATGCTTTGTACACACATGTCCACACATACTAAATAGATAATATATATACACACAAATACATATATAATCATTTCTATATATACACAAAAACATCTAATTGTATATATTCGTTAACATATTCAGATGTATGAATGTCTTTTCAGCTACATGCAAATACATGCATGTTCATTTATGCAGTCTGTGCATTTTAGATTTGTGCCCACTCTCATATGTTCATTTAAATATGCAAACACAGTCTCATGTCTATGCAAGTACACACATTCTTAGAAATGTTGAATAAATGTACATTCATGTACATTCACAAAAGTACTCCAAAATATACATACACTTGTGTATGTACATGAACCCTTACATAACATACGAAGTGCAACATGAGTATAAACTCAGTAGAAGGGGAGTGCTAGATTATACTCATGGCAACATGTTTCATACCCATTCCCTTCCTAGCAAATGCAAAGCCTGCTCAGCATCCTCACTTACCAGGTATGGCAGGGAGACACCACCTGGTCCCCAGGGAAATACTCCTTCCCCTTCCAAGTGCATGGGCACTCTTCTGGCAGGAAACATGCATCCCCATGTCTGAGTAGGCTGTAGGGACACAGCAAGCAAGAGATCAGGAGAGCCCCCTTCCTAGACCCCCACTCTGTGGAAAATTGTGCAACACATGGATACCCTGGGGTGGTTCTCAGAATCAATCCCAGAGGAGATTGACCGTGTGCCACTCCATCTTGCTGCTTCCCAGTGAAGTTGCAGCAACTTGGTAAATGGAAAAGCCACAGACTGTCTTAGACCAGTTCAAAAGTCTCTTCCACCCATCAAGAAGTTAGGCTCAGCCCTACCAGTCACAGCTTCCCTGGTCAGGAAGATACCAGTTGCCATTTAGGCACTAAGGTTAAATTAATTAAGGTTAAACTAATAAACAGACCACTGGCCCTCTTACCCAGGTTGCTCATGGAGCTCTCAGACTTTGAGTCCCAAAACCACAGTGCTACCACCTTCTAGTATGGTTTCCATGAAATCTGATCCACTCCAGGCAAGAGCCAAGGACATCACAGGCAATTTATCAAAGTCCTCGGGCCAAAATTTCAGGCCATGTCCAGGCATGGTCAAGGTACAGTTTGGGGCAAGGTAAGACTACAAGCTTTGGCAATAAGCAAGTTTTAGTTTAGGATCTGCATAGGACAAGCTATTTAACCCTCTTGTTTTATTTTTCAAAGAAAAATAAATATGTAGTTTTAAAGGCAAAGAGAAGACTGCAAAGAAACTCTGAAAAGAGTCTCTTGTTAGTTCCTCCCTGTATCCAGATTATCTGCCTGGAAGTACTTTTTGGACTATAGTGCAGAAAGATGAAACTTAAGTAGAGATCAATGTGCCACTCAGTAGAAGACACAAACTGGAATTCAGAGCTTCTGAGGTAGCTCCAGGTCAGGATATAAATTGGAGGGATCTTCTTAGAGAAAAGAGTTCAGGATTCTGCATAGATGCTACCTTAAGTCTGTGACCAAATATTAAATGGGCCATAAGCAAGACTTGGCATGAGAAAGCATTCAGTAAGTGTGAGATTAATAGAGATTTTTGATACAGTACAGTTCTGGGAAATGTCAAGATTCTGTCTAAGAGAGAAGGAGTTCCCTTAATACCTCAGGCTTTGAGAATAGTGGTACTATAGACAAACTAACAAGTCTCAGACACATGTCTTGAAAAGATCAAGCTAATGAAGCAGTAAATTAACTGCCTACTGTACCAAAATTAAACATTCAAAGTCAACACAATGCAGCATATAACAATGTTCATAATGCCCACTACCCAATAAAAAATTTCTATGTGTAAGAAGAGGCAGAAAAATGTGCACCATAACTAAGAGAAAAATCAGTCAATAATTATGTGTCTAAAACTGACATACATAATAGAATTAGCACACAAGGATGTTCAAGCATTAAAAGGAAAAAGATATGAGAGACCTGTATGAGAGTCTCAGGGGCTTAGGACCTATTTTTAAAAAGGAAATTCTGAAAACATAACATTAAATGAATATTTTGCTGAAAAAAAAAAAACTAAATACTTCAGAAGCAAAGATTAGTAACCTTGAAGTAGGATGAAAGAAACAGTCCAATATGAAGAAGAAAGGCTAGGGGGAAAAATAGTTTCACTGACATATGATAATATTAGGTACTCTAATAGAGGTGTAATTGGCATCCCAGAGGAAATTAAAATATTTGGAGAAATAATGGCTGAATCATTATCAATTTTGATGAAATTCAATGAAATCTGAGCACAGTACACACACACACACACACACACACACACACACACACAAAGAAAAAAAGAGGTGCTATAACTACAGATCCTACAGACATTAAGAGGCAAACAAGACAATAGTATTATGCTGTTAAGCCAATAAATATGACAGCTTAGATGGGATGGACAAGTTCCCTAAATGAAACAAACTATGAAAGTTCATCAAAGAGAAACAGAAATTTGAATAGGCCTTCTCTATTAGAGAAACTGAATTTGAAGTTAAAAATTTCTCTAGACTGGTAATTTTATCAAGCATTTAAGGAAGAAATAATACCAATTCTAAGCAAACTCTTTAAAAAAACTTGAGAAGGAGATAATACTTCCCAATTTACTGTGTAAGTCCAAACTATGCTGATGCCAAAATCAGACAAAGACATCTCAGGTAAAGAAAACCATAGGCCAAAATCTCCACAAACATAGAATATTAAATAATACATCATGACTGAGTTTATCCAAGGAAGACAAAGTTGGTTCAATATTAGAAAATCAACTTACCTAATTTGCCAATGAAACAAAATAAAGTATCATTCGGTACCTATTTATTACAAAAACTCTCAGCATACCAGAAAAACATCTGGTAAGGGCATCTATTAAAAAAAAGCTTATGGCTCATATTATTACTAATGGTGAAGGACTGATAGCTTTATCCTAAAATGAAGAGAAAAGCAACAATTTTCACTTCTATCATTTCTATTGGAAAGTAGAAATAATACTCAGTACAATAAGACAAAAGGAAAAGTGTAAAGATTAGAAATAAAGAAGAAATATTGTTTTCATTCCAGATGACATGATCACACACTGAAATCCTAAGGAATCTACACACAAGGCCATTAGAACTATGCAAGTAAATTTGCAAAATTACAGAACACTAGGCTAGTATACAAAAGTAAATTGTAGTTGCCCCAGGCTGGGCTGAATGCCGGACATCTTGGGGAAGCCCGGTGAGTCTGGCCTCTGCCTCCTTGGTCAGTGTGCAAGGCAGGCGAAACCTTGGGCACCCTCTGAGGCCTCGGTGGCTACCTGACACACACATACTGTGTCGGCCCGGGCAGGGCTGCCACCACTCACCAGTGCAGGAGCTACATTGAGCACTGAGGATCTTCAGGCTCTCACCCTGCCACTCACAAACAATCAGGACAGTGAGACTGCACTACAGGGAGTCTCTGATTCTTCAAAAATGACAAAGCAAAGGAGCAAAATGCAAACCCAGACATCCACACCACCCAAAACAAGTCCAGGAGGCATCAACACAGAAGAGCCTGGAAGTCATACACCTGAAATTTCTGAAATGATAGCAACTGAAGTAAAGAAACAACTCCATCAGGCCATAGAAGACATCAGATCAGAAATAATGTCTTAGGTGAGAAAAGAAATGACAACAATAATGAAAGAAATGTTCAACATACACAGAGATGACACAGACAAGAAACAGCATAGAAAACTCAATGAAACCTTCAGGGAACAATATAAAAAAGAACTAGAAGGTATGAAACAGATGCAAACAGATATCCAGGAACTTAAAAATTCCATTGAAAGCTTGCAAACCGGCCTGAATGAAGCTGAAGATAGACTTTCAGACCTTGAAAACAGCATAGCCACCAATGAATGTGAAAGAAGGGATCTCTTAAAAACAACAAGGAACCAGGAAATAACTATTCAACAACTGCAAGGTGAAGCAAAGAGAAACAATGCCAGATTGATAGGTATTAATGAAACAGCAGGTGTCAGCACAGATGACATAAAAAGACTATTTGCAGAAATAATAGCAGAAAATTTCCCAGGTATGGTAAAAGAATCGGACATCCACATAAGTGAAGCATATAGAACTCCAGTTAATCATAACCAAAATAAATCTACACCCAGACATATAGTGATCAAGATCCCAGAAACTCAACAAAAGCTCAGAACATTAAAAGCTATTAGAGAAAAGAAACAGATCACCTATAAAGGAAAGCCTCTCAAATCACAGCAGACTTCTCAACACAAACCATCAAGGCAGGAAGAGCTTGGAGTGAAGTACTTCGGGTACCGAAAGAAAACAACTTCCAACCCAGATGGATGTACCCTGCAAAGCTATCTTTCAAATTTAATGGAGAAAGAAAATATTTTCATGATAAAGAACAACTGAAGAAATTCATGAGCACCAAACCAATCCTACAAAGTGAACTAAAAGATATACTAGAAAGAGATAAAACAGACTGCAACTTCAAGAACAACAACAGAAAGGAATCACCAAGCAGAGCAAGCAATTAAACAGAGGGAAAAAGGAGGATCCAACAGCAGGAAAATGGCATGACAAAGATAAGTCAGTACATATCCATTATAAGCATCAATGTGAATGGTCTCAATGCACCAACCAAAAGAAGCAGACTTGCAGAGTGGATTAGGAAACAAAACCCAGCTATATGCTGTATGCAAGGAACACATTTAACTCAAAAGGAAATTCAAAGACTGAAACTTAAAGGATGGAAAACAATACTCCATGTGACAGGAACGCAGAAAAAAAGCTGGTGTATTCTGTTTGCAGACAATGTGAACTTCAAGCCCAAGAACAATCAAAGGAGATAAAGAAGGTCACTACATACTTGTGAAGGGGAAGCTTCAAGAGGAAGAGATAACAATCATAAACATCTATGCACTAAATATAGGAGCACCCACCTATATAAGACAAATTCTAACAGACATGAAAAATGATACAAGTAGCAACACAGTCATAACTGGGGACTTTAACACACCACTGTCACAAAGAGATAGATCAACTAGACAAAAAATTGGGAAAGAAATAACAGAACTTAACCAAACGTGTGAACATATGGACTTAGTAGACCTTTACAGTGCTCCACCCAACAGCACCAGAATACACATTCTTCTCAGCTGCACATAGGACGTTCTCTAAAATAGACCATATACTAGTACACAGAACATGTTTAAGTAAATGCAAAGGAACTGAAATTATCCCATGTATACTATCACACCATAGTGCAATGAAATTGGAAATTAATGGTGAAAGAAAACACAGAATCTCCATGAAGAGTTGGAAATTAAATAACATCTTCCTGAACAACCACTGGGTCATAGATGATATCAAAGTAGAGATGAAACACTATTTACAAACAAACAAAAATGGAGATAAAACCTACAGGAACCTGTGGGATGCAATGAAAGCAGTCCTCAGAGGGAAATTTATATCAGTGAATTCCCACCTCAGGAAAACAGAACAAGCACAAATAAACAATCTTATGCTGCACCTCAAGTTCCTAGATTTTAGTTTTTCTGGTTTTTCTCCGGTA